GGTCATTTACCAAATCTCAATTGACTGATGCTACAGTTTCCATGGAGAAGAAACAGCCAGTGAGAGCGGAGCGTGTCAGAAATCAATGATTCCCCCCTCAGGCTCTGCACTGGGTCCGTGCTGGACCTGAAATTTGGCACATAAAAAGGGTTAGAGCCGAGTGAATGGATGTTGTTTTTATCAGGGTGTCTCAGTTGAAGAAAATCTTTGCAGTGTGCTCAAGGAGAAATGTTTTTATTCTCCTCCTATAGCGTGAAAAACAGAACATTTTCCCTGCACGTGTATTGTCCGGCCTCAGCTCAGAGCTGTGCGACAACACAGTCCTCTGTGGTTTGTGTGCAGTGAAGCAGGCTGCAGAGGAAACAAACTGCAGCTGCTTTCTATTCTGAGACATGAAACCAGGACAGCCAAGGAGACAGTTATCCTAGCTGTGGCTACATGCTCCGCTAAATTTCTCCAGTCCTGTAGAAACCATCCACTGTCATATATACCCTGTGTGCAAACACAAGATAAGCAAACACAGTGTATGCATATCATGTAAACATAAGAGGAGGCATGGCTGCCACCTGTTGGTGATTCTGCTAAAACTCACACAGTCACCTTGCCGTTGTTTCCCTCTGTGATGCTGCAGCAGACTCATTTATCCTCTGTGCTGCTGCCGGATGCTCTCTCTCACCCCTGCATGACTCACAGGCCTAGCTACACAGTGAGCCTATTGCTAAAGAGGCTCTGCCACAGTTCATTTATCGTAAAGCTCAAATGAATTCTATGCAATCTAGCAGAAGAGCAGGTTTATGTGGAGATCAATAAAGTGCTAAATTAAAAGAAAAGAGGGCCGCTTCACAGCTTCAAATGTCCTTGGAGGGATAGAAGTGTAAAAAGGAGGACGAAGAAATGTGTAGAGGTCAAGTTCAGGGACGTTTATCTCTATGAGACATCATCATTGACCTTTCTTGAACGCAATCAATAATCTAAATAATCTCCCAAAGAAGTATAAAACCCAATCTAAAGATTTAATACAACTGTTCAAATATGTTCACGTCTTATGAGATAATGACTGCAGTATTCAGGCACTTTTCTAGGCACTGCGCTGGAAATTTAGGGGCTCTTGATCTTAAATTTGGCTGTGAAGAGCACAGACACACCTGGGAGACAGAATGAGTTGAGAGGAAAATTTAAAATCTGCAGTCCAATCTAAATTTCGCAAAGTAGAAGATCATGAGAAGTAGTCGAAAGCCATAACAATTCACTTGATTTAGGACTGGATAGATCGGGGGCTTATCAAAGCATAAGTACAGAAATGTGCCTGTAAATATTTTGATGTTCAAAGAGACAGGTAACATTGGTCAGGAAGTTTCTTCACCATGATGGAGACTAGTTACTTTAAGAATAAGAGATGCGGAGCCTCCAACAGAACAACATGTTTCTTATTCATGACTGTCCAGATGTTCCCACTAATGAATGCAGATTTCCTTTGGCCCAATCATCAGAATCTCAGACGTTATCAGATTCTCACACAATTGAGTTTTTTTTTTGTCTCAGAAGACTAGAGGAAGGACTCACAATCACAGATATAAATATTGAACAGTTCGCACTCCTCTTGGATTCTTCAGATGTGTAATTCTTAACTTGAGAACATGTCATCATATCACATGAAAAGTGATGTGTCAAAAATACACACACACACACACACACACACACACACACACACACACACACACACACACACACACACACACACACACACACACACACACACACACACAAAGACATAAAAACCACACAAGTACACATCCATAGTCTTCGCTCACATCTCACTGCTGCCGCTCTCCCCTCCTGTTGCCACAGCAACGCAGCACTTGTCTCCGATGTCTCATTGACAGCACATGCTCCCTTTAAGAAGAATCACATCCAACAGTAGGGAGCAAACACACACACACACACACACACACACACACACACACACCATCAGCTACTGTATGGAAACAGATAAGATGCATGGTTTCTCACACACATCATCCAGAGCGAGCTGTTTGTTTAAACATCATGAAGATGACAGATAGGAGTGACATCTCATCTGAACAACGTACTCTTAAACGCTCGTCAAAAGACAAAAAGAAACACCTCAAACAGTCCTTTCAGAATCAAAAACTGTTACTCGTTTTCTGACTTGAATATTAAAGAACACAACAAAAACCAGATTCCTCCGTGTGCTGCAGTTATGCCTGATGAACCTGAACAACAGAGGAAAATGCAAACAACCATTTTATCTACTCTCAGTCTTCTGCTCACTCAAGCAAAATCTAAGGAATAAGATCAGATACGAGCACAGGCTTCTCACACAAAAACGTTAAAAAAAAAACCCAGAAGATGAAGTAGCAAAACATGTCCTTACCTCACAGTTCTGTCCGGTGAAGCCCTGGCTGCAGGTGCAGGTGTACTCCCAGGTGTCCTCTGGCCTGCCGGCAGAGGGGAGGGCCAGGCAGAAGCCCCCGTTAAGGCAGGGTCTCCCTTCACAGGGGTCCTGACGAGGGTTGGTCTGGGTCGGGGTGGGCTCAGCTGGGGCTGGGGTGTCCGGTGCCAGCTGGAAGGGAGAGGGGACGGCCCCAATACTGCTGCTGCTGCTGCTGCTGAGGAACAGCAGGAGAAGGAGAAGCAGGGACGGTGTGAAGCTCCGTGCGACAGTCTGTGTGGGATTACACGCACTCAACCTCATCCTGACCCTCATACTTATTGTTAATGTGCGAGTCTTTCTCTTCTTTCCTCAGAGCTCAGGGAGCCGCCGCTCGTACAGCAGCTGAGGTGAGTGTGTGTGTGTGTGTTTGAGAGAGAGAGAGAGAGAGAGAGAGAGAGAGAGAAGGAGAGCTGTATGCAGGCAGAACGACTGAGAGCAGACTGGCCGAAGGTAAGGATGCTGGAGAAGGGGAGGGTGCTCTAATGTCTCCGAGTCACAGTGACGGTGAATGCTGACGACATTCTCTCCCCCCCCCCCCCCCCCCCCCCCCCCCCCCCCATAAACACACCCTCCAACAGGCACCTTCTCACACACACTCCCATTCTCTTTCCCCGGCTTTTCTCACTCACACACACACGCACACATAGTGCGGAGAAGGAGAGCACCTCTCCACCCTCCTCATTAGGAGTCTCATCATCAATAACCTCTCCTTGGAGCCAAGCTTTACAGGAGGGTGGGAAGAGGGGGGGGGGGGTGACGTCTGTGAAGAAAGAGGAGGAATAGGAGGTGTTGGGGAGGTGTTTGGTTGAGAATATCCTCATCAGCTTTGCTATAAGATTAGCTGTTTCCCAATGATAACAGGCGCTGTTACCACAGGGGAGGTGATGCACTCCCAAGTCTGGAAAACAGCAGACTCATGCTGGTGTACAAAATGAGTCAGAATACTTAACACAGTAAGTACATGGCTGCGGCTGTCGTTGATGTGGGATGTTTGGGTAAAAACATCTTAGATCTTCTTAGAAATCCTGCAGTGGGTAGCCATGGAGTATTTATTTCGCTTTTCAACAAATCACAGCTCAGTGGTTTATTGAGGACACTCAACCTAAAAAAGGGGCAGTACACTGATTTTACATTTTACATGAACTGGTCACTAGCACTGGTAACTTCACATATTTAGGAAAAGGCCTCGTGATTACACCTTTAAATAAAGAACTGGAACACAGAAGCCCCCAACGCATGAGATGAGGGATTAATTAGGAGTCCCTTTTTCTGCACAAATTTGACCTGAAATAAACATGAAACACTCTTTCAGTGGAGGAAACATACTGTACGTTCTTTCATGTGGGCTGCCTTAAGGTCATTCAAGCTTCAATAAAACATGGGATTCTTTTATTTTAGGGAAACACAAGAATGGCGGACTTTGTCTCTAACCTCTTACATTTGTGGCATGTTTGAAGCTGATCTTATAAACCTGATCGTTCTATTAAAAGGAACTTCAAAATGTCATGGCCAATCATTAAGACCAGGCACTGAAAATCAGGACATTGTCTCTGAAAAGCTCCAAAGTTTTACTTAAAGGTGGGATCTGAACTGTAATTCCCTTTGATTATGACATAGTGTATCATTGACATCCTGAGAGGACATGCATACATTTTACTCACTGCCTTTTCCCCTGTTAACGAGAGATTTTCAAATTGCTTTTTCTAGATTTCGACTTATCTCACTGATTCATTTAAAAGCTTGTTTTCTTGTGATGGTCAGATCATTTTCAGGCGATCTAGAAATCAAAACAATAAGCTGGTCACTGTGATGGGCGGATAACGGCATACCATGCTGCCATTGCCCACACTTGTGAGGTAAGTTAAATCGATATCAGTGTTTGTTTTGTGTTTTTATGACTCTGCGGACAGACACATAAGATGAGATCTCTAGAAAACAACAAGAAATGACTTCAAGGAAAAGGAGTAAATATATTTTATGGATGCATGTCTGTTTGCTTAGTGTATAACTCAAATTTAATAGCTGATACATGAATTGTTTCCACTGAGAAAAGTAAACTCAGACAAAAATCCATATCCTTCCTATGAAGGAGCTGAGACTTTGGCCCTCCTTTGACCTACAGTTTGAGAATCCTCATGTGTAAATTGCACAACCTCTAATTATCTGATGATGTAACTGCAAGATTCAAAGAGGGCTGTTCTTCAGTTTGATCTTTATCAAACCCCTGGAGGTTGTCAGTGAGATATCGGCTTTGAACTCCTGCCTCAACTTTCCTCATTTCCATAATGACTCCTTCTGTGGTGCAGTGAATCCGTCAGTCGACTCCCCTGAAGTCAGCTTAAAGCAGAGGAACACAACATGTAGGGAGACATTTGGTGCATCCGCTAAACTCGGCAGGTTTTCTGTTATTTACAATGAGAGGGTAACGAATGATTCAGCCACTCTCACAGAGGACATACGTTCATAGCATATTAATAGTTAGTGACAGCATGAGAAACACATGGCAAATAGATGGAAGGATGGGTAAATAAAACAATGAACAAAGATGAGTCAAACAGTTACTTTATTTATGTTCAGGTAAAAACATGAACCTGATGCAGTAAATTATTGCAGATCTTAGAAACCAGCACATGAACGATTGGGCCAGGAGAACATACAGTGGCGCCCTCCCCTGGCCTTAGACTGCAGGTGCACACCACGGTTTGTTCCAAGCCAGCAGTGCAAAGAAAAAATAATAATAATCAACTACAGCAAGAAATAAAGACAATATAGAAAATTAAAAAAAAAAAAAAAAAAAAGTAAAGCAGACATTCTCACCTCAAACAGGGTGTGAAACTGCATATAAACTTTATTCCATAAATGAACTTGAAATGCTATCTGGCCATGAAACGATAAAATGCGACCAGCCATATTTTGTGCCCAGCTACATTATGTGTTGAGGGTTGCTCAGAGCTTGGTCTACCAAGATAACCCTACACATCAGGTAGGGCCCAACAGAAAGACACTAAACTCTATCAAAAGAAGAGCAAAACAAATTTACCTGATCAACACATTGGTTACAACTCTTCGTTTGAGCTGAAGCTCTCTAGAATAAAGGAGGCCAGAACACAATCTCAACTCGGGTAGAGGGGTGGAAAAAAAAAAGAAAAGAAGATAATATGCGCTCATCACTACCCGCATTCAACCAACTGCAACTCTCGTTTCCACAACTTGAAGCAAAAAGACACACAGGGGGGAAGAAAAGCCGAACCAAAATGCAACACACAAACTGGGGCCAATATAATACAGAAGAAAATGCAAACAGACAAACTGAGGGGCAGAGACATGAGAACTAAGAGCTATTCTATCAAATGTGTAGAATGAGCAAAGTCTGCAAATTTGTCTGTACAAATGATCTTTGGAGCTAAAGTAAACCTAGCTTGCTCGATGGACCCCACCCCCCTCCCTCCCTCCCTCCCAGCCCAGTCCTCCCCTACACCCAGTGACGCTGTCCACCACTCTGGAGAGGAGACGTCCCTTTTTTAAATATCACATAGCAATGCAATTTAAAATGTCACCCAGATGTTTTCATCTTTTTTTAACATTACTCAACTACTGATATAAGTTTGACTCTCTTTTTTTTAATATTTTAAGTTCTGTGAGTCATGGAACACCCTTCCATTTTTTGTATTTTTTTATACTTTTTTGAGAGACAGGGGCAGCAAATATATATTTAAAGTCTTAATTTTTCTGCAAGCTGCTTTCTCTAACAAGAAGGCTGTACATGAGCCTTAATGTATGTGATTACAAAAAAACTAAGAAGGAAGTCATGATTTCATCAGTCGCTGTAGAAGGCATTTTAATGTGAGATGTGGAGAGATCAGGAAAGGTGGAAGGACTGCTGGCCCTCGCGGGCCGCAATCAACAGTTTCTCTCGCATGGTCTCTATGCTGGAGTAGTCAGGCAGCTTCAGGTAGTTAACACAGGTCATGACTGAGGGGGAGAAAGTCGTCCGGGTTCTCTGTTGACTCGAAGGTCTTCCTCACAATAGTCAGAGGGGGATTGAGGCTCCGGAAACCTGAGAGAAAACACAAGGTGTCAGGCAGACATGTAGAACACTATTTTTGTTATATCAACATTTTAACTCCACAAACAAATAACTAATTTAATTGTAACAACACCTGCATCCTAAGTTCATCTGTTTAATATTCATAAAAGTCACATCCATTAAATCTCTAACTTGGTTCATAGATGATCATAAGTCAAGGATCTTCTGTGTGTCTCCTGCTTTTTAGTAATGTTTCCATATGACCGTCTTTGATGGGTCGTCTAAATGAGATGACTCACCTCCAACAGGCAGTCTGGGGCTCCCTGTGACAAACTGAAGGAAGAGTCTCTGCTGCTCAGCATCGAAGCTGCTCAACACCTCAAACAGGAACCGCACGGCACGGCTGCGAAGACACAAGACAGAATGAGCATCAAATGTGTTCAAATTTCACTTACATCTACATAGTGTCATGTATTTCATTTAACTGCACACTGAATGAAATTGAATTTTTGATGGTGGGTAAGTTGGTGGTGAAATGAAGCCTTCAAGCCCCAGCACTTATCAGAAGGTAACTAGATGGTCATTAAGACTCAGTGCAGGTCACCGCTTGACTAAAGCTACATGGCTTTAGAGGCTATGAGCGTCTTTGTAGTAATTAGTAAGATGATCTTTCCCTTTCTGTCATGGCCTGACCTACTCACCTGTCATGTGTGTAGCCGTGGTCCGGTCGACAGCACTCCATCAGCGTCTTGACATCCCACGTCTCTGATTTACTGCCACACAGCAACTGATCCAGCTGCAGCAGGGAGGACAGATGAAACAAGATTCAGAAAGAGAACAAAAGGGACACTCATAATTCATTGTCTACGAGTTGGACGAATACATAATCAGACATTTAAAGGAACAGGCAAACTTAAAAAAATTGATGTGGTTGAATTCTACTGATTTGTAGACACATTTATTTTAATTTAGAATGACTGATTCAGAGTTAATGTAGCTGCTGATACTTTTATTGAATGCATCGTACTGTAAAAAGACAGAATTGAGTGAAAAGAATCAGGAAATGGGCTTACCTCCTCTGGATAGAAATACTGCAGGTGATGCAGGGGGAAGACTGACTCGAAGCCTTCCCTAAAGGACTCAAACTGTCTGGATACTCCTTCATTCAGAGTCCAGTAGACCACCAGCTGGAGGAAGACAAAAAGAAAAAGTTCACCTTAAGAGCAACCCCACATACACAGACGTATGTTATGAAACAGAGAACAGGTTTTATATACCCTGAGGTACTCCTCCAGGTTGTAGATTGTGACTGGGACGTCTTTGCCGCCCTTTTTCAGCTCAATGTTTGGGAATCCTGGGAGGGTGAAGTCCAAGCCCAGGTCCTCCACTGAGCAGCCGTTCATGTTCAGGCTCTCTAATGCCTGCTGTAGAGTTTCCCTCGTCTGTTACAGAAAAAAAACAATTGATATCATAAGCCCTATCCAGACAGCCGTTTCAAAGCGTGATATTTATGTTTCTACTTCAATCTGAATGTTGCAACAGCAAATTGAGGGGACAAAGTGATCCCCCTATGTACTATCTACGGAGGTAGTAACAGAGAAATCATTGGATCAGCAGGGGAGCACAGCGCTGTGTGTGTGTGTGTGTGTGTGTGTGTGTGTGTGTGTGTGTGTGTGTGTGTGTGTGTGTGTGTGTGTGTGTGTGTGTGTGTGTGTGTGTGTGTGTGTGTGTGTGTGTGTGCGCATGGAGCTCCCGCTGTGCCGTGCTTCCGCAATGCAATGTGAATTTACAGACTGGGATGGGAATAAAACACCATCCTGGAATCAATATGAATGTACAAAGACGTAATGACAGCTGAGCTTAATCACAGCACTTGTATGGAAACATTGTGAAAAGAGCAATAGAGACAAGTGGAGAAACAGTGAAGGAGACGTGCTATTCAAGTGACAAATTACCCCAGGAACATGGATGTCCCCTGTGCTGTGCTTCACCTGTGATCGGTCCTGTTCCAGCCTCTTCTTCTGGCGGATTATGTCTTCCAGGTGCTGGATGGACTTGGCCACACCGGGGTCAATGTTCACCAGGTCGTGGGAGCTTATAGACATCTCATGCCGTAGCATCCACTTATAAAATGGTAGGCCCAGGGGCAGGTCCAGCTGGGAAAGGAGCAGGAGAAAGTGGTTAAAAAAAAAAAAACAGGAAATGAAAATGTTTTCTCTTAATAACATTATTTTCCTCCTGGCAGAAGAGCATTAATGCTCAGTTGAACATACAAGTGTATAAACAGAGATAATGCTGTTACCAGTCTGAAGTCCATAATGGCTTTGGCCATAAGCTTTCCTAAGAAACGGAACTTCATTTTGATTTTGGCTATGTGTGCTGGTTTGGTTGTCCTGCCGAAGGGAACAGCAAACAGTCCTCTGGAGCTGAACATGTACTTAGTTGCCTCTTGGCTTCCTGTTTGGGCAGAGACACAAGTACCGTGAGAGCAAGTCAGATACATTTGCTACACCATCAAACATTAATGAATTCCAACCACCATCAAAACCTCATTAATTAAGGAAAAGGGATATGAGCACGAAAAGCCAACATGACGTGCTACGTTAATCGGGGGGTTTAAAGCTGAGGAGACAAATGTGGTACCTTTAGGGTTGGCCAGTGTGACCTCTTCACCCCTCCACAGGCCGAGGTCGGCCCGCTGGAGCTCCTGAGACACCAGAGCGTAAAACTCAAGAGTGGGGCCAAGACCCGTGCCCACCTGATGAAAGGTAAAAAAAAGAACAATAGATTTGTAGCATGGTTATGTTTTAAGATCATGACCTGCACTAATAAACAAATAAAGATTGATTGAAGATTGATTGATTGCAGATGAAGATGCATTAAAAAGCTCAAAGTACCTCGTTCTCGTACTGAATCTCCAACATTGCCCTGGAGCTGCCGAGGTCTTGCATAACAGACTCGGCCTGTTTTAGCAGCTCATCGCGGTTTATCGTCCTCTGAAAGAAGAAGAAAGGAAAGAAAATAAAGGATAAAAAAAAATAGGTTTAATCGAGATTAAATGTTATCTGAATGTAAACACAAAAAGAAAGAGAAGATTAAATATCGTTTCAAATTCCAGTCAAACTGAAGCTGATGACAGATTTACTGACGACTATGTATACTCTAGTTTAACATGGCAACATGCTGCACCTTCTTCCTGTCGAGACGTGGTGCAACTCTGCTGTCCTGAGAATCTGATTGGTTGATCTCTGGGTTTGTGTCCAACAGGCGTTGCATGGCTCTGTCGCGATCAAAGGCAGTTACATAAAATAACATTTGCCGGGTGTCAAAGGGGAAGAAGAAGGGGCTGCAGAGAGAGAGAGAGAGAGAGAGAAAATCACATGTGAGAACCAAACCATACTTTTCAAAGATACCAACCGCAGTATGGCTGTTTTAGTATACAGGTTGGATTCTCGTTCCTCTGTAAGTTAAAAGTATGAAACACTTACCAGGTCTTTCCAAGCTCAATGAGCCAAGTGGGAATGTTCCCTGTCATGATGACCAGCGGGTCTTGTAGCTGACGATTAGCTTTGGCTGTCAGCTTACTGTTTATAAACTCACTGTTGGGGATTATTTCCTTACACACAGCATTCTGCAAAACAGACAAAAGATGTTAATTCTTTAGTTAATGTCATGAAACTATAAACTAAACTGATTGCATGTAGGCCTTGAACAATGCATTGAGAGGAAGCTTTAGATCAGGATGACTTTTTTCATACAATTACTGAAGCCATTTTAAAGTTCATGATTTGAGTTTTCATGAGAGTCCATAACTTTAGCTGTCAAGTGAGAGATATATAAATCTTGGACAGAAACAAACTTTCTCTCTCGTGTTACTCTTTAGGAATGACACTTACTTCGTACAAGTAGAACCAGTATCTACTGATGGAGTGCATGACTCTCAGCAGCAGGTTGACCTCCAAAGAGGGGTCATCAAAGGTTATAGTCTCCGGTGGCTCCGAAGTGAGGTATGTCTCTAAGGGATTGAGGACACTGGGACACACACCATCTGGAAGGGAGTGAACAGGGGGTGTAATGAGGAGGACTGAACAGATTCCAATGGTAAAATAGCCACACGAGGACAACTTGTACCCTTACTGCAACAGCTGCTGTGTAACAGATTACATGCGTACAACTCATTAAAGTTTGAGGAAGCATTCGTTCTAAGGAATTAAAAAAAATTTCCCACCATGCCACAGCTCGTCCTGCTTCTTGGCGTTGCGAGGTGAGGTTTTGGTGGGAGCGGTCTGGGCTCTGCCCCTCTTTCCTCCCACAGCGTCTTTGCTGCCTTCTTCGTCCTCTCTCACAGGCTTATACCTGCCAGAAAACAAGACACCACATTAGAGTTGCGCATCCTCACTGGTCTCACGATTTGATATCACGATGCATCCTCAATTTCCTATATTACTGCACATGGCTACTTTTTCTTAAGCAGACACAAACAGTCAGAAATATGAACTCATTTTGTATGATTTAAAAAGTGCTTTAGACCGCAATGTCCTTCTCAATATAAGTTAAAATAAATAAATTATGGAGGTACAGTATAGGTAATAAGTTTACGTTTCTGTGTGTTTAGTTTATTATACTAGAGAGTCACTGTGTGTTCCCTTCTCAGGACGTTGTAGCCTTTGGCTGTGAGCTTTGTTCAGGGTTAGTTTCTTTTCTGTCCTTTTTATTTTAGACGAAAAGTTGCTACAGCTGTAGACACTCAATTTCCATATATGAATGTTTCACATTAAAAGAACTACAACTACAGATAGGCCAGGGGATTTTATTGCAAAGAACTTGTCGGAAATAGAACGTGTTTATCGTGTATCGAACGCAACTTTAGCAGAGGTGTACTTATTAGTGGTGATTCTCGATGAGAAGTCAACTGTGTTTACAGCCGCTCTTGATCATGAACCATAGCCACAGCCCCCTTCTTTTAGTTATCCTGGACTTAAGACAGCGAGGCATCAGTTTAAACACACCTTAAGCTGTTATGAAGATGCTAACCTGTGCTGCGGTCGGCTGAAGAGACACCGAGTGAAGCCGTTTCAGCCTGCAGCGGAGCACTGTGGTCTCAGCGTACAGGAAGTCAACAAGCACAGGAGTGGGACTCAATTTACGTTGTTTTCTGTCACAAATCCCTCTGTTAGCCTACATTACTTTTGTTTAATCCCCACCGTGGCCGATATGCAATACAAACTCACTCAAAGCTGCGCTAAACAACCGCATTTATCGGTTGGCAGATGCTTTTTTCCAACCCTCTTTAGCATGGATTACATCCTGTCCCTGCATCGATGCATTAATCTTCAAGTCTGCATTGCGATGCAATTAAATGATTATTTTCAACACCCCTACATCATATTGTCTCTGTAAGAGTGCTTGATGTCCATCACCTGGTAAACCAGGAGCAATGCTTCTTTTCCCTCGTGACAAAGTGAACTTTTAAATGTGGATAACGTTTTTTAACCCTTCAGAGATGGACTTATAAGATTCAACAATGAAAAAGTCAGTGAAGGTGAAAGCAGAACATAAAAAAAGAGAACTATTCTGTGTACATAAGGTTTAGAAAAAGATGTGGATTTTTACCAAATTGTGTGCGTTTTGGTCCAGATGCCAGCTCGCCCAAGTGGGTTTGCCTCATCATCTGTCGACTCCCTTTCCTCTTCTGCCTGAAGGCTGTACTGCCGCACAGCCTGGTATACCGTCATGTTGTACGGTAGCAGGTGGTCACCTATGTAGAACTGTAGTCTGTGACGCACACTGCCAGAATTCAAGAACTGTGCCGCCTGGGTAAACAAAACATAACATACAGTATGAGTATTACATGTACAGTTTATTGATATTAAATGACAACGGGGCAGAAGTATGTACAGATTCAAAGATGAGGATTATCTGGCATGATCGAAATGACATACCAGTGATTCATCTATTTCATCATCTGAACCATCATCGTCACTGTCTTCATCCTCCTCTCGGATTCGGCCGTACCCTTGAAAGTCAAGATTTAATGTTAATGTCACAGCAAAATAGAGAAACACTGAACAGCCCTGATGTAAATCTTCATTTAACAGGAGCTGCTAGTGGTCCATCTTTATTAAAAGAGGCCCATCGTTTGTTTAACAGTCCCTCACCTCTGACAACAAGATATCTCTCGATGGCTTGCACGAGGGCCAGGGGGTCTATCTTCACAGGGCCGCCTTTCCACTGTTTAACATTAGTGCAATCTGGGTGTCTCTGCAGCTGACACTTGAGCTGGTGCGTGTTGAAGAACTTCAGTGCCTGAGAGCCCCTGAAGAGACAAATTGGTTCAGTTAAGTGTTAGGAAATATATATATAAAAAGAAAACATGTCTATGGTCATTTTTATCAATATGAACCTACTGACCTGCTGCCATTGCCATTACCACTGGGGAAATCATGCACTTTGACAGGAAACTGCTCCATTTGGCTGAGACAGCTGTTCATTTTGTGCACCAGTGCCAGGTAAGGTCCATTCTCTGCTGGGTCCAGACGCCCCACGGGCTCCACTCCTGGAACCTTCAGACCAAACAGGAGGGTATAAAAAAAAAAAGAAGGTTAAATTCTGAAAATGCTCAACTTCCAAAGATTGTAACTATTTGAAAATGTCATGTAAAATAACATGTTTGAGTCCCTCACCGGACAGCCAGCAAACACGTGGAGGAACCTCTTGAGCCGCACATCCCGGCTGAGCAAGTCCCGGTCGCTGTGGGACGTCAGGTATAACAGCAGCTGCTTGACCAGCCCACTGTGCTGTATCTCAAACGACGACACATCAGATTCTGATACAATACTGGAGATCTCCACCAAGCACTCCATACCACCGTCCACCTGGGATATTGGAACAAGATAAACCATCAGAGAAAGGTCTCAGTGCTGGGAGTTACATTACCAAAATGTTTGCTGAACCCAGCTTATCTAACTTATTTGTTTTCTCTATTTGTCTCTCTTTTATTTTCCAAACTGTAACTCTTATCAATTACAAACTCAACTTTAAGGAACACCTCTTAAATGAGTCCAGAAGTTTTTAATTTGTAGATAGGTGTTCAGTAATATTGAATGGTATGTTTTACCTGCAGGTTCAGCTGCTCAGTGGCTGTGCAAAGTCTCTGGAGTACATTCAGTGCAGGGTTGCTTCCATCCACAGTTTCAGAGTTGAAGTAGCGCTCCACAAACTTACTTGCCTGTTCTTTGATCCAGGCCTTAATTTTGTCTCTAAAAATGAGTAACAGAAAAAAAAGGTACCACTGATCACAAACAGTAGCTACTACATTCACACCACAGCGAGTAACTGACCAGTGTGTTTCTGACTCTCAACATCAATAACACTGTACCTGTTATTTGATATTGAGTCCTTGGGAGGTGCCCTCGCCAGGCCGCTCACCCCGGCTGTGCGTGAGGGTTCTGAGTTGGCGTTGTTTGTCTGGGCACCCAGTTTGCCCCAAGTTTTGGGATTAAGACTGGCCAAGAAGGAAGATTTTGGTGACTGGGTACTGGTAGGGCTCTTGGCTATAAAGAACAAAAGAGGTAGGTTAGTACGATAACCTGTGAGCTTAGAACAGATCCAAGACCACAAAGAGCAATTTCAACTCATGACAGTACAGAAGTGCTTCAAGCTAAGAAGAAGAGAGATATTAATGCTGAACAATTCCCTTTACCAAATATAACAGAATGCAACATTGGATCTGCTGCTAGACTTGTGTGAACACTGGAGATAATACTTTTGATTGTAACACTGTAACTCACCCTGATTGTCTCCTTTATCATCATCTCTTGGGGGAGAGTATTTGGGCCTTCTGGGCCCTCTTTTAGGTAGCCGCTTCCTCTTTAGGACATCACTCAACCGCCTTGTTGGAGTAAGAAATAATAATTAATATGCTGCTTGGCAAAGAAATACAACATAAAAACAATTAACATACATAAATCAAAGTACCTAAATGAGCAGTCAAAAATGTCTAGTATGTTTTGCTCTTCAGTTTCTAGTTTCTATATAGTTTGTGAAGCAAACTGTCAGAAGGTCAGAATTAGCTCCATCAGTTTTTAGATGGTTCAACACAGAGATGCGACCGTGGTTTGCTTTCTTAGCACAGTTTCAGCATGACATTTTGCCCAGCATTACAAGGCCCCACACTTACCCCTGTGGGCTGAGGTCCAGGGAGTCATCCATGCTGTGCTGGAAGCTAGGTGAGCCCAGATCAGGAGTTGCATTATTAGCAGATGTGGTGGATGCAGTGCTGATGGTGGTGGTGCAAAGACTGGCTGTACCACTAGGGCAAGCCTTTGGGGGACTAGTGACCAGAAAGCTCTCAGCCTCAGAGAGGTTCTTCACCTGGTGCATCACACCTTGAAAACAGGGCGGAAACAGACATCGCAAATTAAAGGGATGTGATTGACAAAAATGCAGGAAAAATAAACGCTCCAAAAATAAAATAAAAAGTCACAAATGTTTAAAAGCACAAAAACTGTGCCAAAAAGTTTAGTAGAAATATCTATTTTCCTTCAGCAATAACCTAATGGTTTTCGCCATCATATATTCAAATAGTTGCTGTTTAATATGGAGAGTGTAAGGAAATGACCCTTAGAAGATGGCTAGCTCATAGAATTACAGACCCATTAAAGCTCTACAACACGAGTCATCTTCCAAGCGTGTTTGTCCTGCACTCTAGCATGCTCATGTTCAAACTTGAAATAACTTCAAGTGATCTACTCTGATGAGCAGGCACATGTTCTTCCTGAGTTTATATGCTACCTTCTCTTCTGAAATAGACACTGAAGACATCCGGCAGCTTCTGCATAAGGATCTCAGCCATCTGTAGAGAACCCACTACAATCTTCAGGTCCTGGCTGGATAGCATGGAGGCAATGTGACTGCAGAAGGAATCAAAACAAAAGTACAATCAATTTACTGGAACTCAGAAACAGACACTTAACAGTAATGGCTTCCTCTAAATTAACCTTCTGATAACTCTTAGTAAGGATAGAAGTATCTGTCAGGCGAGGCACTGTTACCTCGACACAGCATGATTCCTCAGTACATCCTTCAGCAGCTCTGCGTCAGCAAAGTAGATGATCCTGAGGATGGCTCTAAGGCACTTGTGTCTGACAGCAGGGCCGGCGGATGAGCTGTACACCTCATACAAGACCCCAAAGAGAGTTTTGATAAAGCACTTTGCCAGCTCGGGGTCCTCCTTCATCAACTGGGCTCGTGCATCTTCTCGACGAACCTCTTGGTGACTCCCTGCAGACAGACAGAGGGAGAGATCAGGTGTACAGCAGTCGGTGAAAAGAGAGGCTGTATTGAACACATAAGGTGTAAAAATGGATTTGATTAGAAAAGATGCCGTGACAGACAAAGTGCTTCTCGTCATGTTAAGCCGTTATCTCTGCATTAAAGGGGGAAAAAAAGCAATGTTTCTGGTTCCCCTTCTAGTCTTATACTTGTATTACCTGGATTGGGGTTGGCAAGAGGATTTGGTTTCCTCTGGATACCGCGTGCTGTTCCTGTGTCTTCATTGATCTGCTGCATAGAGTTGAAGTCAATTGTGTACACACGGCCAAGGGTTGACAAACTAATCTCATCCTCCCCATTCTGGTGGGCTGTCTGCAGGGCAGGATAATCACCAAATACACATAACGTCAGAGTCATATAGATAAGCCATGTATGACTGTGTCTAAGTGTTTGGGGAGATGCTGACACACTGTAGATAGACTGAATGTTGTCAAAAAAAATGCATCGCAATATTTTTACAGATTTAGTCCATCACTCATCCTTTAAACAGTCATTGTGTATTGTGACAAGAAGTCATAGCTGGATCTAACTTAACAGTTTGCAGTTGATATGTATTGTAGTATATTGTATTGTGATGCCTTTGTACCTCAATAATTCGGCTGTCGATGCGGTTGTAAGGATGCCACAGTCCGCGGTCATCCCTCCACTGCCAGATCGCTCCCTCTGTCGTCTGGGCACTGCCCTTCTTCAGCATCACGTCAACTGCAAAGATGCCCTCTCTGGGCAGGCAGGGCATCAGCTCACTGGAAGGAGAAGAGCATGGTGTAAACTACAATGTCATCTTTAATCCATATTCTATTGACATGTATTCCATCCTCAAGGTCAGAATGAAGCAGTAACATCTGAGTCATTGTTTAAGAGCCATAAAATGTGTTGTGTGTTCAGAGTGGCAGAATATGTTTAAGAAGAGTTGCATGTACAATGTTCAGAGGACAATTTCTTTTTTTTCCCCCAGGTATCCAAGTCTGGCCATAAATAAGTTGATCTTGTGATGTTGATCTTGTGATGTTCACCTAATTGTTACAGAACAGAGAGGATCCTAAGAGATGTTACCATATGAGAGAGGTGAGTTCATAGAGCTCCTGGGGGCTGCGGGGTACCAGATCAATCTGCTCCTGGCAACTTCCATTTGATGCACCACACAGGAGGAACCGCAGAGTTTCTGCTATATCTGTTTAGAAGAGGTCAAGAAGAAACAAAAGATTTGTGTTAGTTTCTCTGTTTCAACACAAAGTGTTACATCAAAACTGCTGAAGCATTCCATAAGACTAAAGTACATTTTTAATAGAAGTATGGAAATCATAAAATCAGACCATGAACTTCTTAACATCTAACTTATGATGTGATTCAGTCCAGTTCTTAAGAAACATTCAATAACAGCAATGTTTATTATCACAGCTCAAATTCTAATTGAACAGCTTTGTACACCTGTTTCTCTCTTTCCATCACTCTTATATCACACTTTCTCTTGTTTAGTGAGGTGACTGAGCTTTCACTCAGCCTGCATTTTAAATATCTGTCAGTTTTTATGTTGACCCAAATTAAAGAAACTTTAAGGGACCATTGTTTGCACGTTGTTGGTCAGTGAATGGATTCAGAGTCAGGATTCTGGTGGATCGATCATATTCATTTATTCATTTTCTGTGTCATCAGATCGGTTATGAGTTGGTATGATTGCTTACAGTGTGGTTGGTTTCGTAGTGATGCTTGACATCACTGCATTCAATAATCATGAGTGTTTTGGCACAAAATAGGCATAGTGGTTTTAGAAAGAAAGAACAAATGAGAGTGTCAATTCTCAATTAAAAAGCTCTTTTCTTTCTCTGTCGACTTTTCTAATTTTAAAGCTCATCATGTCTGCTTTTCCCCGACTCACTGTAAAACCCAGGTGTATAAGACACACATTAATACCTATTTTTCATCGAAAAAGTGTGCTGCCTCTTATACACGGGTGCAACCAATATACTAATCAAGTGACGGCGGAGGTGGGCAATATGATTCTGGGGTTGTGTGTCTGCACATCACAACTTTCACCTTAGGCTGACAGCACAACTACTGTACTTTAGCTAGTCGGAGTGCAAACTCCACACAGCTAAAACAGACAGAACCAACAGTATATACCAGTGCGACTTAAATTTTGGATTTTACGGTACTTCCGTTCTCCCACTGTGTTTCTGAAACGTTTCTGTCTGCTGACTCATCTGTGGGTCTCTGTAATATCACAATCAGCAATGCCTGGCCTATGGAAAGTATGTGATTGGCTAGTAGAGTAGCCAGTAGTATCATGTGTGACGATTTCTGACTAATTCATAGGTCTGTGACCTTCCTGGCCACTGAGCTCACTACTGAAAAGGCCAGAAAAGCTGAGCTCTGTATCTGGAACTCTCATGAAATTACCCCTAGGTCTGGATAAGAGCCGGTTTAGATGGTCAACACTGCAGTGAAGATTTGGCAGTAAAAAAGGTTTTGATGTGAATTAGGCCATGAGTTATATTTAAAAATGTGAACCTTCACAAAAATACAAACAGATGATAGTTGTTGTTATCAAGCTGAGAGGGGAATTTGGTACAATTACATCAATAAACAGATTTTCTGCAAATATTCAGCAGCAAAGCAATTCTAATAATCATCTGGCTGCACCTAGGAGGGTTTTTTATTCTACAGAATTAAAACAACACCATTTACAATAAAGACATGAAGTATAAAAGCATTCACGTTTTTTTAACAGTATGGGAGGACAAGTAATAACGGAGTGGCACGGTGTGCGCCCTGTGTGTGTGTGTGTGTGTGTGTGTGTGTGTGTGTGTGTGTGTGTGTGTGTGTGTGTGTGTGTGTGTGTGTGTGTGTGTGTGTGTGTGTGTGTGTGTTTTGTGTCGGTTACTTACTCTGCTTCATAAGCTGGACTGCCAGGCAGGGGCAGTTAGAGCACATAAGAGAAAACATGCGCACAACCATGATAAACATCCCCGAGCTGAGAACAGGAGGAGTTACTACAAGCAGCTGCTGAATGTTGGTCAACAGGTCCCGTGATGCAACCTCCTGCAGCAGATTCTGGAGATTCAAATAGACACATACCGCCACATCAGATATGCAGTTGGATGTCAAAGGAAGAGCAAACAATGCAGAAACAGAAAATACAACAGAGAATATGTGTTGTAGCTTGAATTAAAACTTGTGCTACAAACCTCTTCATGTTGAAAGTTGTCCACCAGTCGGGCGAAACAGAGACAAGTGCTTTCAACAGATTTTTTATCCTGAAAGAAAGTTACATAACATATGTGAGTTAGTTAACCAAATAGTATTTAAAGCATAAAGGTCAATAAAAGTAATGCAGACATTGAGAGAGGTAAACATGTAACATCTACCAGACACATCTATTGACATAGTTGACAAGTTCAAAGTGAAACATTGATCATCTGGCTAAGAGGAGGATCCATTTCTCCTGAAAGGTTTGTTCTTTGCTTAAAACCATGTTTCCCTGAGTGGGAGCCCACCTAAAGGTAACCACTGATCTACTACTGTCACCTCTTTCATTCCTACAGATGTATGAATGTGTTCAGACAGAGGGCCTTAAAGAAAAAAAATGTTCCCCCTTGACAGATATCATGAAGTTCAAAATATGCACTATTGTTTGAGAACTGTAATTCAGTTTGATGTATCATTTTTATATTAAGAATGCTTTTATGGCTAGTTGTTTTTTTTTCCAGTTCACATCCAACAAAGGTCTTCCCTCATCGATTTATGGGGCGCCATTGGCCTAGTGGTTGCGTTCCGTCCCATGTACAGAGGATATAGTCCACTAAGCAGGTGGGCCAGGATCAAAGTTCAAAATATGCACTATTGTTTGAGAACTGTAATTCAGTTTGATGTATCATTTTTATATTAAGAATGCTTTTATGGCTAGTTGTTTTTTTTTCCAGTTCACATCCAACAAAGGTCTTCCCCTCATCGATTTATGGGGCGCCATTGGCCTAGTGGTTGCGTTCCGTCCCATGTACAGAGGATATAGTCCACTAAGCAGGTGGGCCAGGATCAAGTCCTACCAGTGGGATGTTTCCCACATCATTGATCCCCCCTCTCTCGCCCTGGTTTTCTACTCTATCCATTGTCCTCTCCAAATACAGCATAAAACACCCGTAAATAAGTCTAATTCATAAATGAGTCATTGACTTTAAAAAAAAAAAAAAAAAAAAAGTGAAACCTAGCAAATTTGTAAGAAATTTGACATTTTGTCCTTAATTTTATCCATATATTTATGATTTACTTCATAACTGCAATGTGCATCAGTCTCAGAGGAAATTTAGTAAGTCGAACGTGTTGAACTAACGTGGCAGAACAAACCTGATGTGTGAGTCTCTGAGTCAACAGTGGCAGAGAATCAGCAACAAAGTGGAACTCGTCTGGAGTTATGCTCTGGCAGCAGTTGGCTGCAATGGCCAAGGCATTCCTCTGAGCATTGATGCTGAAGAACTCTAGATAGAGGAGGCAGTCGGCGAGCCCACCCTGTGAGGGATGAAATGGAAAAGTTCTTGTAAGTTATTGATTGCGGCAAACAGAGATGAAGCAATTACAGGATAAGACAAAAAGACATTGGGAACACTTACAGCCTGCAAAATGGCTTTGCTGTGTCGCCTTGACAGCATCTCAAGGGCAGTCAGGGCCTGCTCTGCTACGTCAATGAACTGGATCACCTGAAGCTGCAGAGGAGAAGGTTCAAAACATGGCATCAGCACATCAAAAGGCTGGTCTCTCGAATAAACAAGTGATTAGGGTCACTGTGCCTTACCTTCTCCAGGAAGACAGGAATAGCATCGACCACCACAGCAGAGGATCGAGGAAGCGCCTCCATCATATATGTGAGAGCCCGAGAGGCATGATTCATCTGAATGCAGAGAACAAAAGCAGTGTTATCATAAAAACAATAATGGATAAAAAAAAAAAATGCTATTACACTGACAATAAGAAACAGTTCATAATACTCACAATATCAAAATTATGCTCCATTTGTAACAGTGTAATCTGTGGAAGAAAGGTGAGAGCACAATTATAGAATCAAATTGACTTGAGAAATGAAGTAAGAACAAAATGTGGTTTACACTTGATGCCTACACCTCATGTGTAGGAGAGCAGAAACTAATACACATACAGAGTATAATGTTTGAAGTTCCTCATTAAACAACATGAGACTGACCAAAGCAGGCACCACACTCTTCACAGGGAATCCCCCGAGTGTTTCCTCGTTGCCCATCACCAGCAGCTGGCACATCTCAATGGCAGCTTGGAGTTGCTGAGACTCGTCGCCTGTGGCCTGCAGACCCTGCAGCAGCTGCTGAGCCTTGGAGCCTTGAAAAAAGGAGAAAAATGTTTAGAACTTGAGCTCTAAGACTGTGGATGCAAGGGTAAGAAGGCTGTACTTACTGGCTCCACTTCCAATGGTCCTGTGGAACAGCTGCGACATGCGGGGTCCTAGGGGCCCAAAAAGATGTGGGGGGAGACCCCTGGCCTCCAGTAAGGCTTGAGGAAAAGAAAAAAAGAAAATTCAGAGAAAGCAAAAGAGAAACTGCTTATGAACTCTCAATACATTCAGATAAAGTAAAGGGAATCTTTTCTTTTTTTTTTATACATTATTCAGAGAAATACAAATAATTAACTTTGAATTGGGGGGGGGGTATGAGTATACCTTGAAGTCTTCCCATTTCAGAGTCATCAGACTCACTCTCTCCAGAGGTGGTCATGCCCACTGCTCCAGCAACTGAGCTTGAAGCTGGAGACAGAAACAGAGTTAGGTCAACATTGAAAGTAAAAGTTAAACACTGAAGAAAGAAATAATGTTGCTGGGAAATCCCTAAAAATCCATTTACAGAAGTTAGTTCAATCATGACATCATATTAAGGAAAGTTAGTTAAGTAATTATTTTTACAAGATTTATTAGAGGGTTTTTATAGACAGGACCATGAATAGAGTAGGAAATAGGGGAGAGAGGGGGAATGACATGCTGGACATGGACATGCAGGTAAGACTTGAACCAGGGCTACCTGCTTTGAGGACTATTGCCTACGTTCATTCAGCGCAATCTAACTACTAAACCTCCTCAAAGGAAATTTTGAGATGGTTTGAAAGGCAATTCCAATCTCAGTTATAATGATGACTCAGTTTGGTTGCTCTTGGAACTCAAATCAGATATCAACATGTGAAACACACAGAGAGTCTGTTGCATCCTTTGTGGAAGTAGTTCATCAGAGTAGCTGAGCAGGATACAGACTGAATAAAGGGAAACACTATTTCTCCTATATTAGCGTGAAGTTTATCACTGTCACCAAAATGACCCATTCTGTGTTTTTCATCAAGTTTTCACCAGCAATCCCTCCTCACTGCTGCAGGTTAGACAAGTGTGGACGAGACTGGCTGCAAATGACAGATGTTCTACTGTCAATCAAGAATTTGAAAAACTGGCTTGACTGGTACCTGAAGCTCCTTGTGATGCCTCATCAGTGCGAGCGGCAGATGAGTTGGCCCCATCCTGGTTGTTGTCAGAGTCGGCCATTTTCTCCTGTCGGCGAGCGTCGGCTGCCCCGCGCTTGCCCAGGCCTGAGCCCCGCCGACTGTTAGACGAAAAACAGATCAACAGAGTGAGAGCTGAGTAATCACAGCACAAAAGTTCAGAGCATTCTACATTTTTACTTACAAGTTAAATGACTAGACAGCAGTGGCTGCTCTGGATATTTATCCATGCTAGAAACAAATTTATGAATTCTTTGTTGCACTGAGAAACTTTCAGCTCTAAAAGGTTTGTCGCCAGGGGGGTAAACTGTTAGCCATGTAGGTAAGGGTTGTTAACGCTCTCATGATCAGGTGGACAGAAGGGGATCAAAAAGTAGACAATTGGTGACAGCAGTTTTCCTGCCACCATCAACATGAATGTTTTAACCCGTTCTGATTAATACTGTCCAGATAGTCTCCCTTTATAGCTTTATTCAGATTCAACTGTGGATTTCAGATTACTGCTCATACAGCTAATATGTTGAATGATGGAATATACTTATTAAACAATGGTTATGACAACCACATCAACTCAGGGCCAATAACAATGATAAAGGATGTTTGTGTGTGTACCCATATCTTGTTGTGTAAGATAGCCTCATCAGATTAGGTAGCACATTATTAGATCCGTCCAGAGGAGATCAAAGTGAAGCATATTTTTTGTTTTGCATGGAAACTCATCCTGAAGCATTGTTGCACTAAAAAAGCCAAAGGTCAAAATTCTTTCATCATATAGAAAACACATAAAAGGCCAGTATGTAGAGCTTGCAGCCTTCACTTGCTCTTCACCTTGACCAAAGGGACCAAACAAAGGTTGGACGTTCCCTGTGAAGATTTCTATTTGTTTTTTTCCCCCACTTTCACAATAATGTACAAGCAAAGACAGCAAGCTACTGAAGTGGAAGGCAGCTGTGCAGGGTTCTAAACTTCTGTATCAGCTTGGCAAATTATTTAAAGGACATTTTAGCAGAAGTAATGAAAACCTCAAAAAGTCAATTCACCACCGACCCACCAGTTTATCTTGAACATCAAGCTAAAACAAAAGCAGTCTATGAAAAAAGTTCAATGATAAGATGATAGTGTTTTCAGAACAACGGCCGTGCACAAGGCTCCGCATAAACAAAAAAAAAAGCTGTAATACATGTGCCAGGCCAGTAGTTGGCGCTGTTACTTCCTAATGGAAGAACACACGCATTCGCACATACTCGTCCTTCCACAGAGTGGAGAGGTGTAAACAAACAAAATGGCTGAAGAATGAACGTTTGTGTGGACCAACAATGATGTGGGGTTGTTACTCCAAGTGAACCTTAACAATGAAGCGAGTCAACTTCAAGAAAATGTCGACTGGGAGTCATAACAGTCGACATTTTTCCATGCCATTGTTATCGTAGTCCACCTACTCGCTTTTAACTACTGAATGCATATGACAAAAAAACAACAATTAATTCATGACACACACCAAAAAATAAAATAAAATAAACCAGGTCAGCGCCTACACATATCTTAGTATAGTCTTATCTAACCTGTTCTGCTGGAAAACCCATGTTGATCATTTGTGTTCATGTTTACAGCAAAGAGGAGATTATTTACGTAGAATCAGGGTTTATGGTGCTGACCATCAGATCATGTTTTCGTTTCATCAGGCTGTGTTGGAGACATCCTTAGGTACGGGATGTCAGCGTGTGTGATACAGTAATCTCTCTGTTCAATTCAATCTAAGCTTGCTTGTCTGGTGCAGGATGCCATGAAGGTTATGGAGAGTGAGAGACTGAAAACCTCAGCCTACAGTTAATATCTGAGCCGTCTGTTCTCAGGCAAACACAGAGAGTGTTGTCTGACCCTTCTCACGTCCTCCACTTTGAGAATGAGCTTTTACCATCTGACAGATGACACAAGGTCATTGCAAACTACATTGTTTAAAAACGTCTTTTGTACCCACCTCCATTAAATTAATAAGTAATAATGTTTCTTAATGCTGTATAGGTTGTGCAACAGTATCATGGTGTTCTTATATGTTGCTATGTGTTCTTGTATTTTGTTATCCTTTTTATCTTTCCTCTTGTGCAATATGGGTCATGTGCAAATGTGTTAGTTCTGCATGTTTTTGTGTTTTTTTGGTTTGTGCTGCTCTGTTTACATGTGGATGGTTTAATTAATTAATACTACTGAGGAACAGCTCAATGTGTGCAGCACTCTGAGTCCAAGACAAATTTCCCCAAGGGACAATAAAGTGTATCATATCGCGTGTTCAAAGAGCGTACTCACACATGGCCCGTAATTGGCATGTGAGGTCTCCGTTTTCATAAAGAATGGCGTTTAAGCAATTTACACATTGAGGAATTTGGTGCTGTCTTCAAAAGTTTACACTCTGAGACTCGTTTTTACAACCTTTCATTTTCAGGCTACCAAAACGCCATTGTTGTGTACACTCAGAGCCAAAACGCAACAAAAGGTTTGCAGTTTTTGTATGACATCATTGTTGTGTTAACGTGGTCTAAAACTACAGCCCAACAACCACTTCTACTGTAACTATTGTTCAGTTTTAGAGGCAATAGAAAGTGGGGCTGCTAAATGCTCAATTACTTAGAGGCATTTCTTAATTTACCGTAAAATCTGGAATATAAGTCGCACCGGTATGTAAGACGCACCCTGTTTTTAAGGTTTCTTTGAGAGAATTATTATTTTTTAAACTGTTCGTGACGTGACGATTTATATTGTGTTCAGCGATGTCTACATCGTGCAGTTTCTGTACAGCTGTGTCGTTCTTAAAAGTCCCGTCTTTTTTCACTTTCGGGAGTTTGCGCTCCTACTAGCTACAGTACGGTAGTTGAGCTCTCAGCCTGCTGCAGGGAAAGTTATGAGGCACAGACTCCTAGCTTGTAAGTCATGCTGCCCGACTCCACTGGTCACTCTTCAACTTTAATATCAGACTCTTTCAATCAAAAGAACACTCCACAAGGTTTATTTACGGAACAATTACACTGTTTTCTGTAAATGCATGATTATGACCTCGTGAGGAAGAAAAGATGTGATAAACGTTTTACAGCTAGACTGGTCTGTGTCGCCGTCTTTCCCAGCACAGCGTGCACTCAGCTTTCAATACACAATGAATGGGAATTGGTTTTTAGTCACGTCAGGTCGCAGTGATAGGGGCTGCTGCAATGAAGGCGCATGTTTCAGTATTTTGTACTGGTATATTGGTCGCACCGGTGTATAAGACGCAGCCAACTTTTAAGACAAAAAAATAGGTATTGAAAGTGCGCCTTATACACCGGATTTTACGGTAAATCAACTCTTGTTGATGTGAAGAAATTATAAAAACTTAAGAGTACATAGTTTCATGTTCTTTTCCAAGCCGTTATTATTTACACTACAGTCATGAATGTGTTTTGTACCTGGTGCTGGCACAGGAGCCCGTGGTCTTCTGGCGTGTGCTCCGCCGAAAGCTGGGGAGCTCTGCTGGAGGAGACTCGCTGCGCTTCTTAGTGGATTTCCTCAAACCTAGGTGGAAATAAAGTGACATATAAACCAACAGTGGACAAGGCACTGACACTGGAAATCAATTCTGTTTGACTTAAAGGCCAGATGACAAGACACTGGCATCACCAAGCTATTCCTACTATATGCATCAACAGCAAGTTTCAGAGATCTGACAGAGAGCAAACTTCATAAGTATCTTTTTGATTATGGTAGCACAAAAAAAGATATCACCCATAAAAGATTAGTGCTGTTTCATGTGTTGAATATCTTATAGTTGGTGAAGTATTTATCATATTAATGCCGAGTGTTACCCTGTGATACATTTCAAATTTACTAAAGGCTCTAGTGTTGCCACCACTGACTGGATGGGTATTAATAGTAACCAAACCATGGCCCTATGACAGAACAACCTTCATGTTTGATCTGTGACTCATGTCTATGTCTATGTAGCACTAAAATAAACTTTTTAAAAGCAAAGAACAAATTAGAGAGATTAATTATCTCCAATTATCTACAACCAGTCTGTGCATTTGAAAACATTTTCCTTTATCAAGATTGCAGTTACAGTTTTGATTACATGTAATCAAATGCAAAGCCAAACGATCACTGGAACAAAGCTGTATATGCAAACTCACCATTATAACGGAAAATAGCCAATCCTATGTGTATTGAAAGATATCAAGAGGCTAACTGAAAAAAAGAAATAGAAGGAGAGGTACAGTTCTTCCCTTTGGACAGAAGCAGCTTACGAGTCCTTCCCTGCCCTCAAACATACCCCCGGTCAGCTGGTGGGCCTACAAGCTAAGCCAACTTAGGAGGGGTCTCTCCATTTAGGCCTGAGACCCATGGCAGAGAGCCCACCAGTCCTCGTCCCCCCCCACCACCTACCCAGAGCTGGCTGACCCAACATTGACCTTAACAGCTCACGTTCACTTTTCACTTGGCCACACACACTAAACTTCTAATGTCTTATCTGTGTAGCTGGTCTGTTGTCCTGACAAGGTTCCTTTTCTGTCACTACAGGACAGTCAACCCTCAATTGTATACAAGAACTGAAAAACTTGCATTTTTCTGATCCTAAGGTAAATAGAGCTAGATTTGGTTCTTGTGTGGTTTGCCAAATTTAAAATCATAGTTTTTGTTTCAACTCAAAGCCAACTTTCCTTGAACTTGCATTTCCCTATCTTCTTTACCTTCCTTCCTCTGTTTGTCAATGTGTATGTAATACATTGCCTTCCTCCAAACTTGGGATCAATCATCCTGGCATGACCTGACATCCTTATATGATCTAGACAACAGTCACTGGAACTCCTTGAGGTAACCAACACCATATTAGTAGTGCTACGCCGCCATTTGCTGCCACTCTAGTCAATGATTGTGTTTCCACAGCGAGCGCCCAGGTCTGTGTCCGGAGCGTGCCAGCAGCGAGACTACGATCTGCTAAATTTCAAACACGCTGCAAGTCTATTTGGGCGGATTGCGCATCAAGCTGGACAGCATAGAATGACGTGCTCACGTTTCAGAAAACGTACCTAGTGGGGCAGGGCGTGCACCTTTTGACAGAGCAAAACCGTGTAACATAAGGAGTATGTGGAAATTGGGAGTCAAAAATCATGACACAAAGACTACAATCGACTTTGTGCACCCAACATCACATAGTATGATTGGATGCTTAATTCTTCCATGCAATGCTGTGATGAAGGATCAGCTTTTATTATGTCTCTTAGGTCTTTCCTTTAATGTCATAACTTAATGTACACTGACGGCAGCACGGCTGGTATTAAAGATTTATTGTGGATTAGGACTAATTGGTGATACTAATTGGATAAGAAAATTTGTCAGACCAGCACTGTGCAGGTTTGCTACAACAAAAACAGGCTATTTTGTGTGAATAGCAGTTTTGCTTTAATTTGCACTGGTATAAGTAGTGCTGGGCGATATGGCCTAAATTTGATATCAAAATATATTTTTTACCTAATGTCGATATTTGATATGACTTGATATTTATCGTATTAAAGTTTATAAATGTAGCCAATAAAACTAAATCTCCACTGTATAAAAAATAAAGATCACTGGCCCAACCATTGTAAATGCTGGCCCAGGAACATTAATTTTTATTCTAAGAATAACAGTCACCAATTTACTCTTGAACCATTCTGATGCAAGATTAAATTACAACTTTTATTTAATTAATTGAGCTCTAATTATAAAAATATTTCGTATTTTTCTTATATCTACGTGCTCATGTTTATTCACCATGCTGGTAACTGTAAGAGTCTACTTAATCTGACTGATATTAATATGAGGCTGTGATAGAGCTGGATTTGTTATGATCACCCTTCTCTCCTTTCTTCTCTGTGAGAAACTCTTCATCCTTAGATCTTTACTTTAGGAGCTCTCTTAAGGGCTACGATGCTTTGTGAATAACTGCTATCTTTACCAGGAACTAGTCTTTAACTTTTTTCGTCATGCCCCACTGTCACTCTCAACTCTTCCGGTGATTGTTTTCCTTTGAATGCTGATTTAAGCCCGGCTTTTGTCAGGATCTGTTGGTTTTAAATCCGTTTTACCAAACGTAAAACCTGCACTAAAATCGTTGTGCGAGAGTACAATTCGAGTGTAGCGAGCACGCTCGCGGGAAGGACAGCAGTGAAGCCGCCAGCTGAACGTGCAATCAGCTGGCCCGGACTCTGTCAATCATTCATCCGGCCAGCGGGCCAGTTATAATGTCGAGCCCTGCATTATGTGCCCTTTATTTGGAAGTAATTCGGCCTCGCTCGCATCTTTCTTTTTTTCCTCCATGTTGGTCGCTTACAAGAGCGAGGCTACTCAGTGGCAGGAGTGGAGTCTCCGCCGCCCTTTCGTCTCCGCGCCATAAGCACTGCTGCGGAAATCTCGCAGAGCAACGAAATATTGTGAGAAAACTTTGAAGTAGTTTAAAAAATAAAATCGATGTTCCCTTTTCCATATCAAGCATTAATTAAATATCGATCGAATCAAGCTTCACGATATATCGCCCAGCACTAGGTATAAGAAGAGGTTTGACCATCTTATATTTACTTGTTATGTATCAAAGTTTAAAATAATGGAATCATAACAACTACAACCCAGTAGTTTGCTTCATACTGACAACGGAGCAACCAGCATTTTGCTATTCTCCAGTTTCAGGCTAGTGCTTAGTCTGACATCTGAGCCAGTTCACCAGTTCGGTGAAGGCCACCCTCTCATGTGAACCAGATAAGCTTGTCAAGACATACTCGCTTTATTGCATGCAGTGTGTCTTCAAACGTATTTATACTCAATAAATGAACATCAAATGAGTAACTCAGAAGACTGCATAACAAAATTCCAAAATTCCTCCCTATATTTACTGTAAAATTATCCTTATTTACCAGCCTTTCATTTGCACCATTTGTCTCTGAGGTATTTAGTAAAATAGTGCCCTTAAAACCTCTAAAGTTAAGTATAAAAAGTTTGTAAGCTGCATGCTTGCTACCTTCTGCTAACAATTCCTCATCTCAATATATCTCATTTTATGAAAGCTAAAACATCCACTCAGCGTATCTAAACTGGTCATGAGTAAACAATTGAGCCTCCATTAAATTTGGTCCAAGCAAAAATGTTCAGTGCTAGAGAAGAGTGAGGTTTTGTAACTTATTCTGGGACACTGCTCAGATCATGGGTCCAGTGACATTTCGCACCAGAGGAGTAACCTCCATCCAAACATGAAAATAATGCAGTGAAGCTTTAATAGGGACTATATCCTGGTTCACACAATTACAAACCTAGAGAAAATGCAACTGAAGATGCTTGCCTTGCCAAACTCAACAGTTACCATAACTGAAACAAGATTATATGCACTAGAATATGAATCACATAAAATACTTTATAAATAAATCACGTATTACTTATCAGTACTAAAATGTTACCTAGGCGGCAAAAGGGAAATGTTGGAGCTCAGATTTTGGGTTAGATTAAGGCTTTCTATTTCTATTTCTAATATCTATGAATTGAGAAGATCCAAAAACTAAAAGATACTCACTTGCTAGTTTAGCTTGTAATCCTGACGGCCCAGGCTTGGATGTCTCAGTTTTGGAGGATCCAGGTAAGGACAGTTTGGGTTTTGGCAGATTGACTTTGGGGTTGAAGCGTGCTGCCCACTCAAATTTTGAAGAGCTGGTAGTTTTTGCCTGCTCCTTGTCACGGGTACTGCGACGTGGGGAGGGACTTGAGGCTGAGCGAGAGCGTCGTGCCTTGGTCTGATCTTTTCCCTGTTTGACTCGGGCACCCTGCGTAGTGGCACTGTTGGTGCCTGTTGTGGAGGAAGAGGAAGAGGTGGAGGCAGAGGAGGAGGAGTCTGTCACGTTGCTACACCCAGCTTTGGCTGAGGCGGCCGATTTAGACGCCAGCTTGGTGGGTTTTGCTGTTTTGCCCTCGGTACGATTTGGGAGGGACCCAGCGGTGCTACTTAGACCGGGGAGAGAGTCCGCTTTCTTCCGTTTCTGGATTGGTGAGGCCCCACTGGCCCCGCTCTTCTTGCTCTGACTTCGACCTGACAAAGCAGGCGGTTCTGCAGCAAATGATTTCTTCTTAGACTTGGTTGGGCCTTTCTTGGTCTCTGAGGTATTGTCTCTGGGTGGTGGGAGCGATTTGGGCTTCTTGGCAGGCGTCGGTCTAAAGGTACTAATTTGGTCAGGAGCTTCACTTCTCTTCAGTCCTCGGGTGCCTTCACTCTTTGACTGTTGGCCTGGTCGCTCTTGTTCGGATGTCCCTGCTGCCTCTGGCTCGTCTTGTAACACAACTGAAGCCACAGATAGAGAGAGGCCGCTTCTGCCCAGGCGAAAGAAGGAAAACAAACACCATCTTAGAAAACTACTCAAAGTGCGAAAAACGGATGAATAATAAACGCCATATTAATTGTACACATTCAGTCAGAACAAAACCCAAATAATATATATGTGTATATTGTTAGGTGTGAATTGTTCTTATTAATTATAAACCCTTCATACACATAAGCACACACAATAAGCACCAAGTAGAGAGGAGGGGTACCTTCTTGAGCTGTGCCCTCTGGACTGGCCAGTGGCTGTGCTGGCAGTGGCTTTGGAAGCCTTAGAATTAGGTCTTCTACTTTCAGGAGGGGAATTTGCTTTATGTTTTACCTGCTCTGACTGCAACCTGTAAGGTTGAAAATTAAAGAGCAAGTGACAGTGTTGGTTTCTGTAATTTAGTCACATAAAAGAGACTTGATCAATCCCCAAATGATTTTTGGCTGAAAGTCTTTGCATTCCCTGTGATCATTAACACTTAAGGAGTAGCAAGAAAAACAGCTTAAAATAAAGAGTTAATCACCATTTGACTATGATAAGAGAAGACAGGATTAGCTTTCCCTTTGATCAAAGTGTTCAGTATAACCATTCCGGTTTCAGTTCAAATTCAGATTTACAAGTGATACCAGCAAACTATGATTAATGTCTCTACATTAGATTGAGACCTTTCTGCTAATACTGGACAGGAAGTGTGAAAGTAGACTCACCTTCCCGCGACAGTTTGGTCTTGTGGCTGGGCCGCAGCAGTGTTCCTCTGTGAACGGCGCAGTGACCCCCCTGGATTGGAATTAGGCCGGTTGGACATTGGCACCTCTCTCCTGAAGGGACATACCCTTTCTAGACACTACCATTCACTAAAAAAATAAAAAAAATAAATAAATCAAAAAAGCCACATTAGAATATTGACAAAATAAAATAGTGAACTTTTTATTGATGATCTATTAACAACTGGGCTGTCAATGTCTAAATAAAATGTTTCAGTGCTGCATGTGACAGCTGTCGTCCGATAAAACGTAAGCTCATCCTTCATGCACGTTTGGGATAATCTGGGTCGTGAAGTTCTTAATATTTAATATACAACTGTACTTTATCAAATCAAAAACTCTCAACAGAAAACCACTGACTAGGTCTATTGCCAACACTACAATCTGTTTAAGGACAAAACTCTCTGCCAGGACGAGCGTGAGCTTGAACCAGACATCTCTGAAGATACAGTCAAATACAATGGGCTATAAATCCCAGTCATTTTATAAACTTTATATATATACACAGTAGATTTCTATAATCAAAAGAAATCATTAGATTAGTCATTACTTCCTCCCATGTTTCCAGAGTATAATAGGTTTATCAAGGCTGCAAGCTGCTTTCAAATAATGAACAAAATGAAATGTTTACTCATGTGCAGTACACTAACAGTTTAACACTGCATGACCTTTATATTATTAGCTTTTACTACGTGTACCAATTTATAATTTCAAGGGATGTGAAAGATAGCATTTCATACATAAGTTCAATAAGCATGAATGTTGTATTGTTCTGGCAAAAATGTGCTAATACTGCAAAGCTATTATGAACCATCCAACCAAAACCATAGGCTGGAAAAAATTTAAATATACTACTTTTACTTTGAACTATTTGACACTAATGGCAACTGGCATTTCTTAATCCAATAACAAAGATTTTTGTCTTCCTAAACAACATTATAATATCTCTAAGACTGTATCAACACAAATAATTAATTTAGAAACAAGCAATATCACATACAAACCAAAATAAATCTAAAATATGTGTAGACTGCATTACTAACAAACCATATGAACTTCCATTTCACTCTTTAAAAAAAAAAATATATATATATATATATATATATATATATATATATATAAAATATGGCAAGTCCTGAGCAACAGGGCTTGTAGTTCTGGTAGTTATGTTGTTTAAGTAGTCACATGGACGAAAATGTCAATATTATAAAGTATAATCTTTACAAAACACTAGTGAGGCAATGACAATAAGAGATGATAATGATGAGAGGAATGATTGACATATTTTTCATCAGACACACAGAACAGGGTGATTTCATAATCTCATGCACCAACCCCACTGAAACAACCTTATCACTATTTTGCCTTTTTAAAAACGATGGATAACTCGACGACTCGTTTGGTAGAAGTTTCACACATGATATAATTGATCATTAAAATACGCCACACTTGGCAAGCTCACAGGGCCATTTTAGGCCTTCTCTGACAGTGCATCCTAGTCTTTGTTTATTCGTTCATTCTGACAACTGGTGCAACACACTCGCGTATACCAGATTAGTTTAACACAGCAAATCATTCTCACCTTAAATAAATCCCCGGTGTTGTTTTTTTAAATGACTATATAACTTACCAAACCACGTCAGTATCCAATTTTGAGACCTATGATTTACAGAGGCCTATATTTCTGACGTACTTCTCTACCACCACCGACTAGCATGTTTAGCTACTCACATCCTAGCAAGACCCAAACATATTGACAGCAGCTTAGGCGAATACATATCCACACAAAAAAACACCAATCCCTCAAGCGAGGCTGGTAACCACTAAATATGATGAATATTTTAACACTTAAAGGCTATTTATCTCACACCAAGGGGGGACGGTAGTATACGGTCAACTGGCTAACGTAACAGTGATTACATGGAAATGCGTAGTTAGCGTACCGGTGTGTCAACCTAGCTCCCCCTGAACAACGCACTGACAAATTCAAGCAGCTAACGCAACAACAGAAAAACACGGTGAAAATGAGTTGAGATGAACAGCAGATTTCTTGACAAACAGTGATTACATTCACCTGATGTTAGCCACACATAGAAAATGGCAGCAGCGACAGGAGCGTCGAAAGTGGTTTAATAGTTAGCTCGCTTCAGTAACCAGTGAGCTAACCTGGTATCCCGACTGCCATGACACACTGTGTCTGACTGACGACCAAGTTTATGTTACAAAAAAATTCATATCTCGCCCGCAAGTTGGCTCATCATATATACAGTCAGCTGATGTGATCAAGTCAAAGACAGATAGCTGTCACATCGATGTGAATCCCGGGAGATCCACAATCACACTTTTAGAAACTGTCAACCAAAGTGTTAAAGTATACAAGAGTAGCTCAGGTTAGCTGTAAGATCACAAATGTTTTTCTGACTCAAGGCCAATGCCTGCCTCTTAACTACAACACTGACTTAACATGTTAAGATAATTAAAAGCCAGGCAGAACAAAACACTTAAAACAACAAGTGTAAACTTCATTTTCAACCTTTATTAAATTATGAATAACATTAAGATGTTTTTTTTTGTTTTTTTTTTCTCTCCCCCACTATATCACACATCTTGTCCACAAAGACAAGCTAAAGCTAGCTTAGCAAAATAAGACAGCGACTTGATCCTTCAATGACCATTCAGTCGCAAACAGCAAGCTGACAAAAAAAATAAACACCTGACTGAGAGATAAACAATCTGTTGTTACAATTCAAGTTAATGTAGTTGTCGGATTTGACAGTAAAACCACTGACCTTATGAATACCGAGTTAAATACTGCAGGGAAGTCACGTATCTGACGTGAAGCGTTGACAAATCAAACAAGAGCGTTGTAGCTTCACCAGCTAACACTAGCATGCAAGCTACTTAACATTAGCAAGCCTTGTTGTCGCTGGCTAAGGTTTTGCCAGCTCGACAGAATTGTTATGAGCTTTTTTTTTTTTTTTTTAGACATATAACAACTACATTGTAACTAAAAAAAACCCTCTTTAGGAACGACTTTGTCAAATTCTGTACATTTTTTTTTTACAAGTTATCCAGTTATCAGCTAGCAAGTAAGCGCTAGCTAGCAAAAAAAGAAATGGCCTCTGATACCTTTTAGACACAAAAAAACAGGAAAGCAGGAACGGGATTCGAGGTATTTTCGAAACACTGATTCATAATTCCTCCGATGTATTTCGACATTTAATAGTCTCCGAGGTCCAAGAGACTGTTGTCTGAGATGTCACAAAAATTCTACCTTTGTATAATGTTGTTACCTATTTGTTCCAGTGTTGTAGTTGTAACAGACAGTGCACCAGCTCCTCTTTTCTCTCTGCTACTTTCACATCAGCTGAGGGCCTACAACTGCAATATACATCCGCGTGATTCATCCGCGGAGGGATTATTTACTTGTGATATGATAATTCGTCATCTGCTTGTTTGTAACCCACAATACCGCTGCAGGTGCTGGGTGTTAATCTAAACTAGACAAATATGTAGTCTAGCTTTATTCTCTAAAATCAAGACTAAATTATCTCACAGATATTGTATCAACCCGCTGGTTCGTGCCCCCCCCCCCCTTCATCTAAACTATTTATCATTTTTAATTGTATATTGCACATTTTATTTAGATATTCTGAATTACCTTTTCCTCTCATCGCTGTCACCAAGGTAACGAATCAAAATAACATCCCTGCCGTTTCGTAAATACTCATTTCAGATGCTCTATTGTTGTCATGGTTACATTGTTTTTGCGTCCAAAATGGCGTCCTTGCTCGGGGAGCAACTATTTGAAATCAGTGACCGGGGTCCACCTCCTCTGAAAGATTTTTTCCAACTTGTTGTTACCAAAAATAAGGTTGAGTATTTTGTATGAGTTTCTATTGATGTAGATTAAATCATTATTTACCCTTACTGAAGGTAGCTTAGTTTTTTTTAGGACAAAGTTAGCTAGCCAACTGGGTTTTAAGTGGTTCCTTGTGTTCCTAACATTATATGACTTTACCATTCAGTGAATGTTGTACTGAATTAACTAATACGGTAAAAGTAAATTGATTTAAAAAAATAATAATACTAATTGATTGTAAAATGAAACAGAAAGGTATGTTACTTCATCACTGTTTTCAAATAGCAACATGGATTCAAATGTATGTCAATGCGTTCACCAATTATCTTAATCATTATGGCTTTATTTTTCTCCTTTATTAGGTGATATTGACAACATGGACGATTTCTTTGAGGCTTGGATCCAGAGGCGCTGCACCCAAAGAGCTGAAGACACCCCACCAAGATTTCCTACATGACAAAAAGATACAGCGTAAGATGTCCTCAATTTAATTTATTGCTAGATTATTTTTCTGTGATGGCTTAGTTGCACGTTACAGTTTACATTATGTTACACTGAAAACCTATAAAAAAAAAACATATTGCTTGAGTCTTATAGTACCAAGTTTGTCTGACAAACCAAAACTTCAGTTGGGTTTTCATATTTGACATCCAGGCTGTGTTTCCACTCCTAATCTATAGAACAAGTTGGTATAGTTTTTGGACAGAGGATCCTGGAACACGCAATGTTACTTTGTCAAGGAAATGTTGATTACCTTGAGCGTTTATCTGATGGCATATTGCTGAGAATCCTTTCCCACATCGAGCTAAAAGATACAACAATGCTGGCACAAGCTTCACAAAGATTCAGAAAGGTAAGAGACCCTCAATATGCTTAGTTTAAAAAGAGTAGAATTGCTTGTAGCCTATAAAATTATTCAGAAATGCATTTTGCACACTGATAAATATACCTGTAAATCTCAAGTGTCATTTTTATTGTCTTGTGCTCTAATTGGACTGAACCAGCTCTGCAATTCTGAGAGGTTTTGGGAGCAGACTGTGAGGAATCGCTGTGCTGAGTTCACCAGTGACATGGAGGGCTTAGCAAATGTCATGGGCTGGAGGGAGATCTATTTTACCTTTTTCCACACCACTGGAAGTCAGAAAAAGTGAAGCAACAAAACCATTTCATTAAACAAACTACGATGCAGCTGCATGCAATGTGGATGGTTCCCTTTTTTTTAATTGCACCCTGTGAAAAAAGGACTCTTGCTTCAGTAAGGTTTAGACTGAGTGTTATGTGGTCTTCAAAAGAATATCCTATTTGTTTAAAAATGGCTCATATTACTCTGAACAAATACATTCACCGTCTGTGTGTTAAGATTTTGCACAATTATTACCAGCAGTATTCAATTGATAGATATGGCTACTTGTAATTTCTAAATGTAGAAAATAGTTAAATTGGTATTATCATCAAACTGTAAGCACACCATGTGAAACAATATGTTGTTTCTTCTTGTGCTTCCTGAAAACCGTTTTAAATGCTCATAATAAAATAATGAACAGTTTAGCAGCACTTAAGTCCCTCTGATATATTAGGACAAGGGCTCCATCTTAACTTTTACTTCCGGTTTACATTAGCCGGTGCCCTGTTTTGTGCCATCGGCTGAAGGCTCTGGGCACTCAATGGTGTCTCTGCGCAAAGCCAACATGGGTTTGTTTATGCTCTCTACTGCTGCATTCTCTCTACTGTTGCCACCAGAGGGAGCAACATGGCAATGAAAACCAAAGTCAGATGCTGGGAGGAGGAGGATGGAGCAAATAAAAACCCTATAGGGTAACGTGTGCAAAACAAGTGTTGTAATCCTGGTTACCATAGCCAGGCTGAAAAAGTGTAGCACAGGACTCGGGATAGAAACCTAATACAAATACATCTGTAAGGGCAACTTCCACACCGGTCCTACCTCACCTGAAAACTGCACAAGCAAGATACAGTAGCGTATGATAAAGGTATGCACTATTTTTTTTTTTTTTCTGTTTTTAAAAGGTTTCTTAGGGGAGCAGTGACTGTCAGTAACAGTTAACAGCTACGTACTAAAGTGCTGTTCTAATGTTTTAACATCAACACCAACATAAATCATTCAGCTATGCTGTGTTCAGTGGCACAGGGTAAAAGAAGTTTTCCAGCAGGTCCCTCTACATACACAGCAAAACTCCCTTCATTATTTAAAAAACACTCCTGTCAAAAGGATTTCTGGGTGTGGGAAAGATCTGACATGAGAGCCAGCAGATCTGACTGGTCAGTGTTGTGGCCTATTATTAGCCTCTGAACACTGGATACCGCCTTCTCAGCTGAGTCTTGTCTGGGAGGAAAAATATTCATTACGTAACAATAAAGGATCTGTCTCCCGACCCACTTCCTGAATACCACAGTAGCAACTAGGCCCCAAACTGAGGCAGAGCGAAAGCCTCGTCCGATTGTTGGCCGGAGCAGAGCAAAGAGGTGCCGGTTTGTTGTCTGCTTATCCCTTGCCTCCACAAATTCACCGCACCACCCCTCCTTCCCAGCTCTCTTTTGTGGGTCAGTGATGCAGCGGGAGTGACGCAGCAGTGGCAGCACAGCAGGAACAGGGAACCTCTTGCCAGAACCATAGTCCACAGGCAACTTCCAGACAGCAGTGAAGAGGGAAGATGGTAAAGGCCTAATCTAGGCCAAAGGAAGAAAGGGAGCTGTGTCTCCCTACCTCCTCCTAAACAAACACCACAGAGACTTCTATAGCGGCGGAGACGAGCACAGCAAGACCTTCCTGACAGAGACGTTTTGGTAGGCAACTCAAAGTGTGAGTGCTTGTGGAGGCAGAAACATAAGTGCTACCAGGGATGAGTGTCTTTGTATGCTTGCAGTGTAAAATGCTTTGAGAATGAGGATGAGGCCTACTCAGCCTTGTACTGCGGTTTGTGCCTCCCTGATGATCAGTGTCTCTTCAGGCCGCAGCTGCGCTTACGGAGCATCAGAGGCACAGAGGCTCGTAAACTTTGTCCTGCAGTTAAGAATGCATTCTAGCTGTGATATCAAAGGTAGGGGACAAAATGCTTCCTCTAACATACCTTATATAATCCATTTAAGGAAGTAATATAAAAGCCAAGTAATATTTTCCATTTGCTCTTTTAATGTTAGCCGGATATCTGTTTTATCAATCAATCTAATATCTGTAACGCTTAACCTTGGGGTGTTCCAGGGAGTCTGGAGCTAATCCTAACTGTCATTGGACAGATCAGATATCGTTTCGTGATGTCAACATATAAAAACAGAACAGCTCTATCTATTATCATTTATAATGGTTTCCAAGTCTAGAATGTACAACACAAAGAACACTGATACAAATGGACTGCTAATGGAATGCAACAGGGAAGTTAAAAATGATCTAAAGCTATGAGACATTTTACCAGAGATACATTTAAGCCCCCTAGTGTAAAAGGTTTACATTACATGCTGTAAAAAAAACAAGGGATTGACAAAGGTAAGATTTGTACCTAGGCAGTACAAAGAAGCCATGAGTAAGAATGTTGTGATTTAAAAGTCGTTCCACTATCAACATCATCATGGAGATTTAAACTAAAAGACTGTTTTAATTCTTTTTAAACAAAACCTTGTTGTTCAGGTTTCAGATGTCAGTAAAGAAAACCTAACATATTTCAACCAAAGTATTTCTTGAAATACAACTGCAACATGTGTTGTCCATATGGAGATAGGGTATTTTTTTCTTTTTACGTCTCTGTCAGTTGTGCAGGTTGCTGCATATTTATCCCCTTTTTCACCTCCAGGCTAGCTCAAACCCTAATTTTCCCAATGTAGATTTTTTTTTTGCCACAGTTGAGGCAAAACACATCAAAGCTACAGTTTCCTCATCACTTTTATTATACCATTTTTTCTGTTACTTTTGATTGTCACACTATGGGCACTCATAAGCTGTAAGATTTAACTACTCGACGAACTAACACACTGACTGCTCCGCTTGCTAATGTAGTGGTCTGTGAGTGAGCAGTTCTTGATTTGAGAACCAAGAATATAAGACGGACCTGTGGTCAATTGTGTATTCATAACCACAACATTATGTGATGTTCTGAGCACAAAAATGGGAACAGAACGACACAGCTACAGCTCAGATTCAAAGGTTCATTGAGTTCATTTTTAAAGAGACAAAAGCCAAAACGCTCCACGAATAGCCTGTTTCCTCCCTTCAGGGCAAAGAGTCAGTGCATGCATAATGATAAACTGTAGCACCTGCTGCTTTGTCTTTTGAAGTCAACAATACATTAAATGAAATGGCTTTGAAAATGGTTTAAAGTGGGATTCAGCCTGTGTGACGATAGCACAGACACGGTCACATGACTTTACTCGGTTGTGTAAATAAAAGAGCGGCTTCCGTCCTCAGAGGCTGGTGAGAGGCTCACAGTGCTATGTCGGGTTCAGCTTCCTCCCCTCCCCCTGCAGTCTGCAGTGCTGACGCATCTGCTGCTTTTGCATCAATCAGCAGCCTGCATATAGGTACACAGAGAGTCCCACTGATAGCAGGACTCTCTTTTCTCCCCCTCAGTCTCGCATGCAGTCTGCACGCTTACTGCGATGGCGAGAAAAAGCACCCATGAACATTTATCCTGTCTTCTACTGCAATACACATTAGGACAGTAGCCACTGCCATCTTCTCTCGGGTTCTGCATTACCTAACCACAGTGACTGCATGAGCACGGAAGAGGAGCTTTGGTGTTTTATATCGCTGCACAGACAGAATGCGTGTTCACGAGAATTAAAAACAGATGGTTTAAGCATTCAAGGTGTTATTTCACCTAGAGAATTTTATGTATTTTTCCTTCGGTCAGTATGAATTCATCGGGATCTGCTTGTTGTTATGATAAGGAGATTAAATACAGCGTTTCTTTTTGTACCCCTCACTCTACACTGCTCTGAGCGTTACAGCTGAGCGTTTCCTCTGGCTGGGGCATCGAGTGCAGAGCTGATGTGTGATGTAGCACCCAGCATCTCTCTGCTCTCCCCACAGCCCCTCTGCCATGCTTAATAAAAGTTGTCGTTTCCTTGTGAGTGGCTCCAGAGCGAATGCTTCAGTTGCATAGCTAGCACAAAGGCAGACCTATGCTCAGGTTTAGCTCCACGCTGCTTAAACAGTGAGTTATTCCTATAGGGGTAGCAGGACAGAAAAGGGACAGTCAGAGGAGGGAAGGGCAGATCTAGCTCAGGACCCGGGCTGCATGGATAGAGGCGAAGGACGTTGGAGCCGGAGTCATCTGCACACAGAGAGGGAGGGAGAAGAAGAAAGACGTCAGAATAAGCTCTGCTTTTGACAACACTGCTCTTCAGCGACCATCACAGAAAAAAAAAAAAAGATACTTTCGCCTTGCTCTCACGAAACTGTATTTCATGTATAGTTGGAAAAAATTGAGTGCCATAGAGAAGAGATACTGCATGACTCCTTTTCCCGTTCGCCCTGCATCACTTTCTCTGATTTACTAAGGTACGTTTTGCATGGTTTCCCTCAATTTATAATCCTTTATTTATTTTTTTGCGGAAGTACACCTTTCAAGGGTGCATGGTGTGGCTTTGCTTTGACATTTCGCTCTTTGTTTGACTGATTGTTTGAAGATTGTCTGTTTGCTTTACTCATTTCATGGTTTGTGGTATAGGGTGGGGGGGTTATATGTTAGACGTTGATTCATAAAAGAATGTTTCACATGAGCTTTCAAGGTAAAGTAAGGTTGGGTGTGGCAAAATCAAGCACACTGATGACAAAGTCAACATTTCCGCTCAGCATGTGGTGGCACTGATCCACAACAGTCGATGTACATTTTGAAAAACGAAAGTGTTTTAGATAAAAGTGTAAAACTGTTTCCGCTAACAATCACACATTGAGAAATGAGTCTAAAAGCAGTAGCACATCACTCGCTGTTATCAGATGGAAAAGTCCTTTTGAGTAGCATTTCTACTGCAGACAAAGATGCACGGACCACTAACATACACAAAGTATGTACAAGCGGAGACAAAGGCGAATCTTGATTGCGCTGCAGACTGCAGCATGTTGCAGGTTCTCCGAGAGGGCAGGATGCTTGCGGGAGAGAGGGAACCGAATACCCGGACAGCTAATACAGTCACTTGCCATCCAGCTGAATCCCAATAAGTGCTGCGCCATAGCATGTTGCCATGACAACGGAGGCCTGTCTGAGAAAGAAGGCAGGAGGCTGGTTGTGTTTTCAACAGTGTGAGGGGCTTTCAAGATCGGCAGCCATGTTGTATTTGTTGCATGAATGGAAAACTAGAAATATGCGTACAAATTGACATAAAATGCCCTCACTGATTAATTACCGAAACAACTTCACAGCTAAAAACCCAACACAAATGCATTGCTTTTGATATGAAAAATATCAAACGAAATTCCAAAAGACTGCCTCATGGCAATGACAACAATTAGCCAAAACCAAAACAAATTGAGGTGTCAAAATGATAAATTATTCATTATTTAATCTAATGCTGATTTAATATAACTTGAGTGTTAAGTGTATAACTTCCACAGAGTATTTCTGATGTTGACCATGTGAAATTAAACTTGTGTGAAGTCAGCACGTCGAACACGGAAGATTTTTACAGGAGAGAGAAACGAAACAGCAGTGTTGTTGCCTCCAGTTTAGCCTAAACATCTATAGGGAAAGGGAATTATAAGCCAGTGCTAGAGTCACTGTAAACGATGACAGAAAAAAATAATAAATATGTAGTTCTAAACTCTTGAAGAGCCAAAGTTAAACTGCTAAAAAAAACATTGATGCATGGGATATGCTATCAGTGATAAGAGCAGTTAAGTGTTTTAGCTAGCAGGTACAAACAGCGTGTTACATGAGGCAAACTAAATGACTCAGTTTAGACTCTAACCACACTCACTGTGGTATGAGAAGGCCACAGTTAGAATATCATGTTCGGTGATACATCCTCTGTCAAAGGAGAAATGAATGAACTTAAACTGCCTGGAACAGTTGCACATTGCAGATTATTTTAGTTTATTGTCAAAATCAAACAAATTTAAAAATGTTGCTTCATCAGTTCAAAAAGTGATGTGATGTTGTTCCATGTCTGACTGCAAATCTGCTTTGACTTAAGACTTTATTCACAAATGGGACATTCTTCTTCACAGCACTGTACAGATTTGACAGAAATCAACAAAAAGTGCCAGCAGTGTGTTTGTAACAACTAAAGGCTAAGACATGTCCCATTGAGATAGTGTACACAATATTATAAGCAAGTCCATTACTTTACATAAGCAGACTAATGTTTTTTTGCTACCCTTCTCGGGCAGTTGGCACACTGTAGTTAGTGATGGCAAAAACTGTATGAGACAAAAGAAACAACTTTTCCTAAGCCAACTGATGAAGGAAGCTGATGAGTCATCAGTGCATCTGCATGTCATTATCACATTAACCTTGGCCTTAGGCAGAATGAGACTGTCCTGAAAACTTAACCACGCCAAGCGCTTATCTGTTAGCACACTCAATGAATGACCATCAAACCTAAATTTTGGAGTTAATAATATCGACAATATTCCTATTGCATTTAGAGATCTGCCGTTGTTTCTCTTACAATTACCTTTTTTTTGTTGTTGACTATCCCATGTATAAAATGAAAAACAAAATTGCCAACAGACAGTAACTGAACACAGAGAAAATGATTGGGCAGATGAAAAGGATGTGATTTAAAACCAGCACACAGTACATTATGACCCCTTATCCAAGACCTTTAAATGACAACCTTCACACTACAAGTGGAGCTGAATAGTAACCTTTTAGACACGCAAGTAATTTTATTTTTTATTTTTTTAACTAAATTCCTCAGATGTATTTATATAATAGTATCTAAAATGCTTTCCTATACCTATTTTCTCAAAACTCAGATTTCAAATGTTAGTCTTGATGAATCAGTCTTTATTTGTATAGTGCCAATTCATAACAAATGTTATCTTGAAACACTTTACAAAAGTAGGTAAAACTCAAATCATTAAATTGGCCCACATGTTGACAAAAAATAGTAATAGCTCACTGTTGGGGAATATCAATAAAATAACATTAATCAATACATTTTTTTATTACAATACTGCATGTCCTGTCATATTTCTACTCCAAAGAGAAAAAGATGAGTTTATACTCTTCATAGGGGTTTTTTATGAAGCAGGATGGACAACTGTTGACCAGACTGTTGGTATTGGAGCTCAACTGTTAGGATATTACTGCCATCTAGTGTTAAAACACTGGAATAGATCAAGTATTTTCCAATACAAAATGTACACCAATCGTCATCTTTTTAACAATACTACTGAGGAATTAACACATTTTATAACAACCTGATGTAAATGTTTCTTTTCTTACTTTTTTTTTTAGATGACAGTGGTGTCCCCATGCACTCAGAACCTGATGGATAGCGTTCACCCTCAAAATGTGCTCAGCAAACTCAATGAGCAGCGCTCACAGGGTCTTTTCTGTGATGTTACGATTGTGGTGGAGGACGTGAAGTTTCGGGCTCACAAGAACATCCTGGCAGCCTGCAGCGGGTACTTCAGGAATGCTCTGACAACTCCTGAGACATGGAGCTCAAACCAAGTGCTGGAGCTGATGGACCTGAAGTCTGAGGTGTTCGCCAGTATCCTTAACTTTATCTACTGCTCTAAGGTGATACCACAAGGCGCAGAGGACACAGTGGGGCTAGTGGCAGCTGGCAAAAGACTCGGAATTCCTTTTTTAGAAAAGCTTTCAGAACAAGTAAGGCAGAATGAAATCCTTAAATCCACAGATCACAGCACAGCCACAGTGTCCAAGAAAACAAAGAGGGAAGTTCCCAGGCCTGAGGAGATCGACAGTGCCACAGGGCCACGCATCACCAATGCCTTCTCTATCAATGAGGTGTGTCCTGGAAACAATCTTTTCCCTCCACTGGTCCAAAACAATGGGGAGAGGGAGTCACCAGATGTGGGACATCTCCCATCACCTTGTCCTACCATGTCCTTCCAAAGCCAGACAAGTGAAACAACACATGCCCTCTCAGAGCACTCATACGCAGTCAGCAAATCTACTGAAAGCAAGGATAGCAATCAGTGTGACAGCAAAAAGGTCTGCAAGCCAGCAATATCACAGCCAAAGCAACTCATGTACAGGAACACAGGCCCCCTTAAAAAGCGCCACAGGCTGAGAGGCAATTTGGGTAGAAGTCTATTCCCAGCACCAGCTGACCCACAAACAGATAAACCTGATGCAATACCCCCACAATTAGCTGATGGTGTTTCTGCAGCACCTGTTGCAGTTTCAACACCACCTCCACTTTTTTCAGAGTCAGAAAAACATGTTGATACAGTGCTAAATAAAGCAATTGACAATACTCAAATGGAGTTGGGTCCACCACCCCTGTCCCCTCACACAGAGGACAGCGTTTCAATATACGGATGCGAGCACTGTCCAGAGATATTCACAAATAAGGCTCTTCTGACTATTCACTCAGAGGTTCACAAAAAGCGTTTCGTCAGTCATTTGTTTTGCAAGTTTTGTCACAGAAAATTTATACACCTCAAACGTTTGCGCAACCATGAGCAGGCCTGTCCAAAAGCTGTAAAAGGGCCACCTAAACTACAAGCAACTGACATGCCTACCAAAGAGTTGGACCTCCCTTCAGAAGACATGCCAAACATAGAGAGCATCATGACACAACTGCCATCTGCTGACTCCTCCACCCCAGAGCCCCCAGAGCCCCAGAGCCCCTTCAGCTCGACCAATCAGAGCCCCCACAGGACGAGAAGATAGCAAGACCAGGAAGTGGTCAAAGGAGATACAACTGCAGTGTGTGTAAACGGGTCTACATCACCCTATCCAGTCTGAAGCGGCATGAAAATGTGCATTCCTGGCAGAGGGCCTATCCCTGCCATTATTGTAATAAAGTGTTTGCCTTGGCAGAGTACCGTACCAAGCATGAAATCTGGCACACAGGTGAACGCCGATATCAGTGCATTTTTTGCCTAGAGACTTTCATGACATATTATATCCTCAAGAACCATCAGAAGTCTTTCCACGGCATCGATCCCAGTCTAGCTGTTAAGAAGAAATCTGCAAATGGAGGGCTGAAAGCCAGTGTTTATCCAATCAAACTCTACAGGCTTCTGCCTATGAAGTTCAGAAAGAGACAATACAAAACATACAGTCAGACATACTCAGAGGGTCAGGAAAAAGAGCACCAAGCCCCACTAGAGAGTAGCTCTCTTATCCCTCCATTTGAAGAAAATGGTCTGATCAGCCCCCCTGATTCTGTTTCATTCCCTCTTACCTTCATGGCAACCACAACGATGGTGGCACCAGTCATGCCACGAATCAGCTTTGACAAGCCATGTGACCAAAACGTTGAACAAAGTCTGAACAGTGAATTGGAAATTCAGAAAGGCAAGAGAAAAGAATGTGGGAGCATAGGAGCAGCCTTCATGAATATTGACAATACCTTTTCTTTGCAACCAGATACAGAGCCTTCTGCAATTGGTTACAGAGACACTTCAGAGCACATCGATCATAATGCACCATTCTTAAACTCTTTGAACACTGTTAAAAAGTTAGCTGAGCTATCAGCTTCTGCCAAAAGAGTTGAGGATATGACGAAAGAAATACTGAAATCAAGCACTGAGAATCTAGGGCTTGATAAAGCGGTGGAAGGGAAGATAGAAACCTATATTGCCAAACCTGTATGCCCAGGTCCATCTGCTGATGGTTCTTCCATGCCACTCTGTCAAATTACAGTGAAAATAGGCAATGAAGCTATCATCCGTCGTAGAATCAAAGGATCTAAGCTCTTTCCCAGAAAGAAAAGGAGAATTCGGGAAGTAAATGAGGGGGAGAGCTCAAATCAGTGTACTCAAATACGGGAAAACTCTGAGAGCCCCAGACTGCGCCTCAGACCTGGAGCCACTGCCGCCACAGAGCGAGAGACATACGATGACCCCAATGACCTTGACACAGCTGATATGCTTTGGCGTCCATATTATTCTTACAAAGCCAAAAAAAAGAGAAAGAAGTTAAGATTAAAGCACAGAAAACCTTTGTTTCATCGGTACCCCGAAACATCTGTGGATAGAAGTACTGTGAGTGAGGCCCCTCTTGGTGGAAGTATTAGACTGTCAGAAGAGAGTGTCTCAGGTGGTAATGGAGAAGTGAAACGTAGCCTTAGCAGAAACTCCAGCCCAAGGGCCGCCTACAACTGTGACATCTGTGACAGCTCTTTTATCACAGAGACTGGTCTAAGGGCTCATGTCATTGGTTCCCACCCATGCTTCTGCCGGACCTGCGGTAAACAAGGTCCCCCTGGTGAGGCACCTGCCGGTGGTGATTACATTTGTAACAGCTGTATGGAAAATGGCTCCTGCTTTGACAATGCACCACGGAGCCCAAACCCAGAGAAGAAGTATCGCTGCTCCTTCTGTCCTCAGCGTTTCCTCTACCTTGCCACCAAGAGGAGTCATGAAAAAAAACACCAGGTGACAAATAAGGAGGGATATAATTTTGACAATACAACACCATGTTCTAAATACAAGAGCGAAGAAAATGAGGAAGACACCATAAAAACAGAAGTCGAAGACAATCAAGGGGGCGCTGACATCAAATCTGAAAGAGTGGAGGGAGACCATTTTTCGATTGACAGTTTTAAGTCTAAAATTGAGGACTCAACTGGCTTTATGCCTTTGACTGCCTACCAAGAAATGTCATATTCCACCATTAAAAGTCCACAATCACCTCACATTGCCCAAGTGTTTTCCCTGACACCCTTGAAAGCGGCACATAAAATGCAGAAAAAAAAGATCAATGCACCGCATCCTATGCATCCCATGTCAAAGAAACAAGCCTCTGACAGAGAAAGCAACGAAGATGTTTTTAACGCGCTGGGAAAAAATCTTCAAAATGAAAAGTCTTGTAAATTATTTAAAACAAATGACTCTGAAACTAAAGCTGCCCACATGTCTTTACAGAAGCCAGAGAAATGGGTGTGCAAAGAAGAGCCCTTTTTTTAAAGATGTTGAAGACTGTGGGCAACGATGGGCCAAAAATGTGAATGAAAGTTGACTTCAGGCCAATGCTTTGGTGAGGAAATATACAAGCAGTAATGTTGTCTTTAAAGCTGAGCTTAGCAAGATGTTTTTAAAGGACAACACTTGTGAAAATCTTATATCGGTTTAGACTAATTTCTTTTCTCTTTAACACAACTACTGAGGGATTTTTCATCTTTGTGTAATTTTTGGGGATGACATTATAAGACCTTCTGACACAGACTGTAATTTTGTCCATTGTCTATGCATAAGTCACAGTCTCATGACAGGACTGTAACCTCAAGAAGATACATGTTTGTTACAAATGTTTCTTCGTACGATGTGCAATTTCCGGACATGGGTAAGATGTGAAGGACAACTGAAAGTTATCTTCTTTAGTAACATCTTCACTTTTTTTTTTAATTTGTCTGGGAGAAACAACAAGTTTTAAAAAGGTCATATTTCTGAATCTGTCACTAACAGTAGATGTTGACTTGCACTTTATAGTAAGACTATGCTGATCTGTTGGTTTAATACTTTGATAATTCCATTTAAATTTTAAGCACCATTGATACTATTCTAATTTCCTATTAACACATAGCATCATTGCAATTTCAGTTACTTATTTTTATGTTTACGTATGAAACATGTCAAACTATTTAAATAAATGTTGATAATCTTAACAGTTACATTGTGTCCTTTTTAAGTCTATCTTCAATACAGAAAATGTTTGTGTATTAACGCAGTACTGAATGATCACTGACCAACACACATTGATTTTTTTTTTAAAGCGGTAAACTTTGCATTTAAATATTTGAAGGGCCATATTGGTACAAAACCTGCTCCAAAGAAACCTCACACATAAGGCACATGGAGTTTACTTACTCCTCCTACAGCCCATCTGAGAAGTCAATTACCTCATTCTTCCACACAAACTGCATCTCTATTTAGAGTTGGGCCTCAAGACAACATTTCCAGATGTTTAATATCTTGCTTTTTTCTAAGACTGGCCTTGTGTTGTAACAGATGGATCATAACATTTTTGGAAAAGGTACTGCTCTATACACTGATAATGTAGGATGGATTTACCCTACTGTAATGTAGTGTGTCATTTAAGATAGATAGCAGCAATTCATGTGATATTATTCAGGCTACTCCAGATTTAATGCTGGACTTTACTATAGCTGATTTTGTACTTCTTTTCAAAATAAGATGCACACAGATCATAAACTTGATTTGGTAGTGATAAATTACATGTATGTTTAGGCCTGGTTCAACAACTAATTGAAAATATAGATATATGCCTTAGATGGCCATAGAGAATGATTAAGATTTCTAAAAGTAACCTGGTCTGACAAGGATTCATTTTGTTTAACAATAAAACATTTTTTTTTATTTGCGTTTAACATGTGTAGCAAAGTATTTGTTATAGACTAATCTATTTTAAATTGGTTACACATGCACACACCTCTGAGTTAAATGAATAACCATGTAAAATGTCTAGATTCAATATAATCAGCCCAGACGTCTTGTAATCTAGTGTGTGCAAGGTGTTAATAGGAGACTAAGATATCCAATAGAAAATGCTCAAGGAAGTTAAAATGCATACCTCACCGGCCTTTCAGGCTCCCTGCTATCAGCTATGAAGATCAGACCCAGCCAAAAGCAGCTTCACCTTGAAAGAGAGGGAGAGAACACAGGATGTGAGTCACACTTTTATCTGAAGTAGATATTGGAATGGGATTGTATTCCAAGTAAATATTAAAAGGTTATAAAAACTGTGTATGTTTAACTGAACTCAACTCAATTTAACTGAGAGCCTACATGTAGTCATGTAAATTCCCTAAACCTAAACTGTGCAAGTCGAAAAAGAGTAGATTCATAACATTTTAGATTTTTCCTCAGTTTAAGAGACACTCCAATGTCTTACTTTAACTATAAACTAAAACTAGTAAATTAGTCTGGCCAGCCTGGTCATATAAACAGCCTTGTTTAGAGGTTGTTGTTTTTTTTTTACTGAATTCTGCATTTCTTTCCCCCATTTATAAACCTGTTCAGCCTCAGATGGGCTCACTTGTTTTTGTTTTTAACCGTGGTACTTCATTCACACAGGTGGTGAAAGATTTACCTCTGCCTCACCCTCAAACAAGCATGTCTTAAACGGACAGGGTTAACCTAAAGCCCTACTATGGTATCCAAGATTAGCTGAGCTAAGCTAACCTAACCTCACAAGTTAAAGTATTATCTCTGCGCCAGCTTTGTTTGTTGCATAATAAGCAACCGCGGAGAGACTTGAAATCCTCTAAAAAAAAAAACCCAACTCATACCATCTGCAGAATGGAGTAGCTTCTAGCTAAACCGAGGCACTTGACTTGTGGTGGAAGCTTCACATTTCTCCAAAAGGCTTGAAGGCAGCAGTGTGTGTGTGTGTGTGTGTGTGTGTGTGTGTGTGTGTGTGTGTGTGTGTGTGTGTGTGTGTGTGTGTGTGTGTGTGTGTGTGTGTGTGTGTGTGTGTGTGTGTGTGTGTGTACGGGACCTGGCGTGACGCGGCAGTGGGACTGGCTTTCTCTTCTTCACTCTGCCTGCATTCACAAACGGATATGATAAACCAGCGCTGAATGCAGTCAGCTCGGCTCTGACAATGGCGGAAGAGGACGACGCGAGAATTCGGATTTTACAGAGTCTGCGGGGTAAAATATGTAAGTTTTGACTGGGGCAGACTTTTTTTTTTTTTTTTTTGGGGTTGGGGGGGTTGGGGTGGGGGTGGAAAGAGAGGTGAGCGGGCGAGCAGCGACTGTGAAGCCGGAGGGGCGCGGCGTGCCTTCAAGCAG